ATCAAGTAGTCCCTGTACATCTGCTGGAATTTTATTTTCATCATTAACATCTTCTCCTTTTACTACTAGCAAATGTATTTCATGAGTATCCTTACATTCTTTAACAAATTCAGCATGATGATGGGTGATGGTAAGGAAATTCTTCTCATGTGTTTTTTGAGCATTTGTAATATTTTTTTCAGCCATGGGTAACAAAGTATAACGTGTACCTTCTTTTTCAAGTTGGTAGGTATTCTCCCTACCCATGTGCCTTGCATCTGTATCAAACTGCCAAGGCCTCCCTAACAAAATGTGGCAAGCATCCATATCAACAATATCACAATATACTTCATCATGGTATTTACCAATCGAAAAAGGTACATTGCAGCGTTCTTCCACTCGTACGCCACCTCTTTCCTTGATCCACCCAATTGTGTATGGGTTGGGATGTTTTTTAGGGATCAGTTGTAATTGTTTGATGACATTCCTGGAAATAATATTTTTCTGACTGCCACTATCAATAATTAAATTAAATAATTTTCCCTTGACAGTACATCTGGTACGAAAAAATTTGTGCCTTTGAGAAGTATCCTTATTTTTATAGGACAACATTAATTTTCTGACCACACAAGTAATACTCCTCATGTTCATATGGACCCTCTTCATCTTCCCCATCAGGCCCACAGTATACCTCATCCTCAATATCTTCTTCTTCCTCCCTTTCTACCATATTAATTGCCTTCCTCCTGGGATAGTCACTGGATTTATGTCCAACCTCATTATATTTAAAACATTTAATAGGAACAGGCCTTGCATAAGGGTTACTGGGTTTAGGAGGGTTGGAAGGATTACCTCGAGTATGTCCTCTTGTAGTAGCCTTACCGGCGTTACTTGTGCTTGCCGGGTGAGAGGGTTGCACTGTCGGGACTGATTTGTTCATGTCGATAGTTGCCGGTTTGTTGTCGCTCCCGCTGTACCGGCGGTAATTATCACTGCGTGCCTTGTCTTGGAACATTAATTCTACTTTCAAGGCTAGGTTCCTTGCTTCCTGCACACTAAGAACCATTTGTACACCAATTTTGTCCCTGATGGACGGTCTTAACCCGCTTAGATAATGGGCTGCCTACTGGTTATCACTTTCAGACAACTGGTTTCTTTTTGCTAATCTTAAAAATTTTGATGTGTATTCATTAACACTACGTGAACCTTGCGTACACCACTGGTAAGATTCAAACATATATTGTTCATAGTCAGGGGTAAAAATCTACTTCTGATTAATTGTTTCATGCGCCTCCAGGTTCGAACAGGACCCCTTCCTTCTCTAATCCGGGTCTCTCTCAAGCGTTCCCACCAAACAGATGCGCCTCTCTTTAATCGGAAAGCTACTAGTTTTATCCTCCGTTCCTCTGGTATATCCACGTACTCAAAGAATCTATCGACTTCTGTGATCCAATCTAGAAGTCCATTTATGCCAAGATCTCCACTAAAAGTAGGAATATCTACCTTGAGTTTAAATTCATCATTATTCCTACGGGGATTGAAATTACCTTGATTGTGCCAATTTCTGCCGTTTCTGTCATTGCCGGGAAGAACTGGAGCACCACCAAATTCGAAATCATCATCACTGTCGTCGTCAAGAACTGGGCATCGGGACGCAGTAGCGACGGGTGGTCTGTCGTGGTTGTCTCCTTCGATCTGCTGTGGATTTTCCCGGTTCCGTGGGACAACTTCCCGTAACAAGGTTCGTAGTTGCTCGGTCACCTTTGCCAACTGATGTTCGATGTTACGTGTGGCCATGCGCTGTTCTTCAATCGCTCTCCAAACAGCTGGGAACCCCTGATCTCCGTTACAGGGTGGGTTGCGACTACTATCGTCTGGGTTGGACATGGCTGGGCGAATTCCCTACTCTGATACCACCTGACGCAGCGTGGAAGCAATGAAAACCGGGCTGGCTATGCAAGCACCGGGCGATCGCTAGCTTCTAGCGAAGAACACCAAATTCTCTAGGAGAGAGAAAAGGTGGCAAAAATTGGAAGAAGATAACTTGAAGAAATTCTGAAATTCTGAAGTATGAATTGATGAATAATTATGGGAAAATAGCAATATTTATAATACATTTAGAAATTGTAAAAGAACTAGGAAAGAACATGAATCTTGATCCTCTTGGGCTGTCTTGATAAGGTCGAACCCTCTTGGAATTCTTGGGCTTGATCTTCCATCGTCTGATCTCCCTGACTCTCCTTATGCATGAATCTGGGAGTCTTGGATTTCTTGATGCTTTTTGGAGTCTTTGTTGGATCCTGATTGGAGTCTTGAGTTCTTGTTAATCTTGGATTCTTGATAAATCTTGGAGTCTTGGATTAAGTCTTGATGGATCTTGAATTATCCTTTATTGACTTATCTTGAACTCTTGACCTTATCCTAGGGGCGGCCTCCATCAAGGGGGTTAGTGGTAACTCGCTAGGCAAATCACCCAAAAACGACCGAAGAAAGAAGGACGACGGAGGGTGGTAAAATGTAAAATATATAGGGTAGGTTTAAATAAACCTGTGAAACTATAGGGGGTGTTCTAGTAACGATCCTTCTAATTTCTACTTTCTCGCGAGTCGCGGCAAGCAAAACCTATATACTCTCCTCTTGGACTTCTCCCTCCCAAGATTTGAAATTCCCTCCACATTTCCACAAGGCCACCGTGCCAAAACAGAAGAAAGACATTCGGTTCCGTTCAGGGAAACTCCTAGTCACTGTGACTGATCTATCATCTTCGCAAAGAAAGCCACCATGGCCACCCACCAAGACGATCTTGATCTTCTTCTGTCTCTTCAAGATAGGGTTTTGGAAACCCCACCTGCTTCTCCTTCTACCACTCGCTTCTCGGAATCAGGTAGGCTTGTTTCATATTGATTCTGAAGCGGACGGACCATCCTACTCTTCGTTTGCCTTTTCTCTTTCTCCCTATACGGGTTTTCGTGGAGATCCATCCTCCGTGGTGTTTTATCTTAGTTTCATGATTTCGCAGGTTACATTTCGGATGATGGGTCACCGAAACGAAAGGGCTGTAATGCGGACATGTCTGTATTCAAAAATGCTGTTGAAGACTACCTCGAAGATGAGCCCGACATCCTCGAGAAGGTTCCCAAGCTGACCAAGCCCAAGAACTTAAATGATGCTGATGTTGAAAAGTTTTCGGGTTTGCGAATTAGGTGATTCTTTTAACAACTCAGATTGAAAATTAACGAAATCTCTATCTCCTTCTTTCCCTCTCCCTAGTTGTTTCATCAACTCAGAAGGATAGTATCAAAATGGTTTCTGGTTATATTTTTCCATGTTCAGGAATCAGTTGCTCTCCCCCGCTGAACTGAGCAGCCATTTCTCTGATATCCGCTTTGTCCGATTGCCCGTAATAAGGTACTAACTGCTTACTTGATTCAAGTTGCGATAAACTACACTGTACTTACACGTTTGATCTTTTTTTTTTTTTGTCTTGTGATCTCATGCATTGAAAAATATCAGGAATTTGCTGATGGGTGATACTCTTTCCGGTTGTTGGGCGACTGTTGGAGTTTTGACCGAGAAGGGGAATCCAAAAGTGAGCTCCACCGGAAAGAATTATTGTATATGGAAAATTGGTTGTTTGGATGAAAAAACTGTTCCTGTTTTCTTGTTTGGAGATGCTTATACTAAGTACTGGAAGGAACATGCAGCGACTGTATTTGCTTTTTTCAATTCCAATATTCGAAAGGATGCCGAGGTAATATTCTAAGAATGTAATGAAGTTGAAGATGTATATGTTTATATCTAAGACATTCTTAACTCCGTAATCTTTTGGTAGGGCAAGGGGTTTTCTCTGAGCGTGTATTCAGCTGGTCAGATTTTAAAGATCGGCACCTCTGTGGATTATGGAATATGCAAAGGAAAAAGGAAGGACGGGTTGACTTGTACAATGATCATAAATAAGTACGCAACTCACAGTGCCTGAAATAGAACTGACAGTAGTATTGAATGAATTTTGCATTGCTGATTGTAATGTAAAATCCTTATCCCTCTAGCTATGTTGAGATTCCAAATGATCAAAAACAGTTAATTTCCCTTTTTCTAGTCACCATCCCAATTTTTTACGTTAAAAGATTACATATGTGTAGCCCCTTCTTATGTATCCTGAATTGGCATCTGGACTTTCAACGGTAAGCAATTAGTCAGAGTCAGGGTTCAACTGGAAATTATACCATCCTTCTTGGCTCTTTGTGTGTTTTCCATTCTCATGTTCCTCTTGAACCCTATTGTTTTATTGGTCTCATGAACCTTATTTTCCTTATTTAATTGCATTGCAATATTTATTACATCTTAGGAGAGTGAAAAAAATGAGTTTGAAAATTCCCACATAGGTTATTTCTTATTCCTTTTTAATGCAATTGCACTGCTTTAAAAGAGTGCCTGAAATTCACCCATGGTCCCAGGCCAGACCCTTTAATTTTATAGATAATGCAAAAGAAGGTACAATCTAGGTGGTTATGGGTCTCTGTTCCTTGGCCCAAAGCCATGCATATGGTGAAGAAAAGAAAACCATCCCTCCCAATGCAACCCAACTAATGACCAGAGATACAAAGTTTCTTTTCTTTTCATTTCATTTTTTACCTGTGGTAGGGGGGATGAGGCCTTACCTCAGATATGCCAACACACAAGAACAAGTTGAAGTTCCAATAGAAACTAACTTGTGAAACTATCTTGAGACCAAGAAAGTTCATTCCATTCAGGATGAAGATGCTTTTAAATGATCTTGGCAACCTTCTACTCAGTCAAATCAGTTCCCAGCTTAAAATGCTATTAACCATCTTATTTCCCTCTGTACATATATGGCACACTACTTTTAAATCTTTGATAGACTTAACTAGGAGTGCAAATGGATCGGATCGTGATTCGATCCAATGTATATTATATATTTATAAATATAAATATATTTTTTATATTATATTTTTATAAATTTGTTATACTATTCATTTTTTTTTTATAAAAACATGTATATATATGATGAAAATAACTAAAAATACTTGTATTTTTTGTTTTTGCTTTACTTAAATTAGTATATTTTATTTTTCTTTTAATAATTTGTTAATTTTTAAGGAAAACAAGTTGGATTGGATCAGATCCGAATATTCGACTTACCGATAGGATTCGAATTCAAATAGAGTCCTATCAGATCCAATCAGATCTTCGGATCGGATCAGATCCGATATGCACAGTGTTGGATTGGATTCGAATATACCCTGATTCAAATCCGATCCATTTGCATCCCTAGACTTAACCACATTGTTTGTTGATCAATGTTGGTATGATTTGCACCCAACCCCTCTTCAATTTTAGAATGGATTGTCTATGGATGCTGTGTTTTTTCTTCATTGGAAGTGGATGAATGCTATTTTCTGTAATGGTACTGTGAACCTGAGTTTGATTTCATCATTAAAGATGAACTGTTAATATAACCACCTTTCTCTTTTTTCATCTATTTTGTTTTTTCTTATACTTAATTATGTTTATAATCCTATATTGGCCTTAGGATTATCTCCTGAGGACTAAACTTAATCATCTAAGAGCCATTTGATAAACGGCTGAAGTGGATGGACTGAATAGCTTATTGCTTTGTCTTTTAGTGGATATGTCATTAAGGAAGTTGTGAGCTCCTTAATGGCTGAAGCTGAAGTTAGTTGCTTACTATATCATTTTATATTTATTATTTAATTATTTCATCCATAAAGGATAAAGCAATAAGACATCCAATTCAGCTGTTATCAAATAGCCCCTTTGGTCTCTTGCCCCATAAGACTAGAGGTGGATTTACGTTAATTCAAGCTATCACCTTTATTTATTTCTCTTTTTAATCCAAAATAACGTTTATACTACTTGGGATCTTTTCTTTTCTTTGAGGATATTGCAGTCAATTTGGATTAGATGGTCTTCACAACCAAGCTATCTATTGAACTTTCCTACATGAAAGGCTGCAATTGTTTGGATGTGATTTCTATTTTCTCAGTCATAAATAATAGATCTTTGTGTTTTAAATTCCCAAGAATTGTAAAAGATTTTTGAACTAGTTTTATTTGCCAACGGAGCATAAGTTATCATTTCCAGAAGTAGTTGCAAACAAAAAGCCTTCCAAGTGTTTCTAGAAATACTTGGTTATTGGATTTTACTGGTAAATTGGTTGAACTTTAATCTATACACTGGTTGATAACTTGATATGTACATTCATGGAAATGCAAGCTCAATCTACTTGTAAATTAATAGGTTGCAACAGTTCCTAATTCAAATATTAATTTATCATCTCAAGCATATTGGCATAGGCCAATCTTAGGTTCCCTTAATATAAACTAATAAATATTGTTTAATCCAAAGTAGGTTTCATGGCATGATATTTGGCATTAGAAAATTTTGTAACAATTTCCCAGTTCTTGCTTTTTCATGGTCAGTATTCTGTTAGAACACAAAAGGAAATTTAGCCCTAATTGGCATCAGAATATATTAAGATGCTTAAGAGTCTATATGGGGATAGTGGAACACATTTGAACTTTTTCCTGTGGTTGAAGATGTAGCCACTCCCAGTTTGCGTTCAATATTGTCTCTCACAGAACTAAATAGTCAGAGAAATATGATTTGTCACAGTTTCAGACTTGTAGCTAGTGTGTAATAGATGATGGATCATCTGCTTATTTAACACCACCCATAATTTTCATTCCAGATGAGGAAGTTGTACATTGTTCTGAAGAAAGTATTTCCACCATAGCCAACTCTTACTCTCTAGTTCACTCTAGCAGCAAACATTGAAGTTTCATAATGTATGTATGGTCAGTATCATGCAAAAAGCAGTATCAACCCGCACAAAATCACGACTGCAGACTTCTTTTTTTTTTTTTTTTAGTACAATGTCTAAGCTTGAAGCTGACTCCCAATCAGTGGGTTGCATGGCTTTGCATCAGAGTAGGTGCATGTAATGGTTGAAAAGAGTTAAAGAACAAGAACGACTAAGCTTGAAGTGTGACCTTGACATGTTTTAATCACATTCTTTTCATAGCCTCATTGCTTACTGTTCTTCAAAGTTGATGATGTAACGAGTATTTGCAATGTATCCATTGTCCATGACCATGAATAAGTGCATATTGTTTTCTGATAAAATAATAAATAAAAGAATGAGATTGCCGCTATTCTTTTTTTAGTTACACTTTTCTTGTACCAAAGTTTATTTTGACTTGGGGATATTATGAAATTTAATCTAACCAAGTCACTGTAATTTCAGACGCCATGGCATGTTTTGCAAGTACCATATGTCGGTAAGAATGGATACCAAAATTGTCATTCAATATTTGTTTCAACATTAGCTTCTGTATCAAATGATTAATCAAATACTTCTTTGATCTCTTTTTTGGCAGAAAGCATCCCAAAAATACTCTGTTAGTCGTCCAGAGCTCAGAGGAGGGCAAGTATTTTTCTGCATTATAGCATGTTGAGTTTGTTAGCTGTTTTCTGCCATTTATTTTATGTTCTAAAGCAGAAAAAGTTTCCCTTCATGTTCATCAGCAACTTGCAGACAGCCTTTATGAAACCCCTGAAGTCTGAAGGAATATACTTGGTTGATCCTCTCTCAGACAAAAGTAACTTAAGAAAGCCCATGCAACCAGTTAAAGTGTTATCTGTGGATGGACTAAAGAAGGCATTAAGGTATGCCCAGGAATCTTAAGCTTAAAGTGACTTTCAATATTATCCTCAAAACAGTTAAATTAAGGGGGTATTCGCCAATATATATGCTTTTGTTTTTGAAACAAAAACAATTCCTTAAAGGCCATTACCCAATGTTGGAGTGATCTGGGATCTTGAGAGGTATGTACTGCATTCAGATCTAACCTTTGACATTTTGTCACAAAGTGGCTACTCTCAGACTCGAATCCATGGTCTGACACTGTCAACCTGAGATTTTACCATTGCACCAAGCAATGGCCTCTAAAACAAAAATAACTGTTTTTTTTAATCAATCAACAAAAATAACTGTTATGTCAGCAAAATCATGTTAAGGTGTGTTCAGAAATCTTTTGCTTAAAAGTGACTTGCAATATTGTCATCAAAACAGTTAATCAAGGGGGTGTTTACCAATATGTGGTTTGCATTATTGGCCAGTACTCCAAAAAATGTCAGCCACATTTTCATGGTAAATTTCATCTCTAAAATGCCAAAGGTTAACTGAATTGTTGGTTAATTTTCCAAAACTAAATGGGATTTCACCAACATGTATGATTTTGTTTTCCGGAAGAAACAAAATTGCCATATGATGTAGGAAGGGAGGGTGGAGAATGTCCTGTTAGGGTGAATGTAGTGGGAAAAAGTGGAAGAACCAAGGATCTGAATTAGGAGAGGAGAGGTTAATATCTAAATAGGAGAGTGAGAGAGGGACTGCTTTCTCCTCCAAATTGCTTCAAGAACTTGAGTAGAAAGTACACCAATAGGACTACGAGCAGGATGAAATTCAACTTTGAACATTTGTTTAAGAGCATTTCAGTTTTCAGCTTTAGGAACCACCATCTCAAACTTCTTTATTGCTAACATTATCTGCAGAGTGTTGTTATTTATTGCTAACATTATCTAAATATTGTATGTAAATATAAAGTAATGCAGGTAAAGTGACAACTAATGCTCACTCACAAGGAATAAGATTCCTCACGGAAGTTACAGGTTCAAAATCATTCTCATCTCTTGGCAACGTCTGTACTCCTGTGCTTTTTCTTTGTTTAAGCCTTGTGTTTTATTTCTCACAGGAAAGATGCATCCTAAAAGTTCAAGTAAAGGATATGAGATGCATGATCAGAAAAATGGTAGCTCTGGTAGCTCAGAGAAGAGGTGAATTATGGGCATGGATATTCTTTCTTTTAAAGAAAATTTCTTTAAATTTGTAAAATGTGGTTTGATTTCGCACTGAATATAGATGCATGTATCACTACTGTTCAGGTTATCATCAGCCATGATGTCGACTTGCACCAATGTAAAAAACCAAAATTCAGAGGCAAAAAGAAAGAAAACTGATCAGACGGTGAAGATGATTGAATTGGATCTTGTTAGCTCAGATGAAGAAGGGTGAGACCCGGGGGTGAACCCTTCTCACCAATCAGGCCATTATTTACCCCTTGCTTGTACCATAGTCATCATGCCTTCATCTTGTATTGCAAGGAGAACGTAAAGTTTAGCAAATGGAAAGATCGATGCCATCAACCTTCGTTGGTGGCTGAAGGAAATTCAAGTGGTTTTTCTCAACTCCACATTCAATGGATTGAAAAAGTTCACAACTAACTTATCCCTAATATATAAAACGCAGCAGGATAATTTGTACCGGAAGTTCTCCAAAAGAATAGAGCCACTTGAACAAAAAGCTTTTTTTGACACTTGCATTTGTCTGTTCCTGCAAATGCTTATAGATTATCTGTTGATAATTGTTCCTTGCATGCGTGTCCCAACTGATTTCAGGCTGTCAGAAAAGGAAAATCCTTAGTATATCTTAATACCTGCAATTGGTTGAACTTGAAGTAACAACCAACTCCACTGTGTCACATCTCAGCCTTTGTTCCGACATAATCACGCTGATTTTTAGGTGGGATTAGTGGTTCTGTTCTGACTTCTGACTTCTGATCCTCTTCGTCTTAAACATGTTGGCTAAGACTGTTAAACGATGATGAGATGAGGGATTGCGAATGGCTTCCTGACTCCTGTATAATAATATAGGCCCACGCACCCTTTCCGCGGGGGCCCATGTGATTCGTAACCGCAGGGCGCAGGTTGTAGATACTGAAAATTATCACCTGCTGCCTGTATATTCTGAACATTACACTTTTGTAGATGTAGTTCGTTCACACATCTGACATACGACTGGATCCATCGGATTTCGCGGTTCTGGGCTTTCAGTTGTTCTGCCCTTTTCCTTGCGTCGAGATTAGTAAGTAGGCATTTGTATGGTTGTCTGTACTTTTAAATAAAAATTAGGCTGTGTTTGGCTTGATGGAAAGTATGAGAGAATGGTTTTTTAAAACGAACCGGTCAGGGGGTCTGGTTACCGGTTTGAATGGTCTGACTGTTCGACCCAAACGGCTGGCTCATTCTGACAAAAATAAAAATAAAAAAATTGAAAATTGGTAAAAACTGTTTGAACGGTTAACCGGCTGGTTCAGCGGTTTGCTGACCAAAATCAACGGTTTTGAGGGAAAAAGCAGTTTTAGAGAAAAACGAAACCGGTCAGGTGATCAGTTCCTGGTTTTTCCGGTCTGACTGTCTAGTCCGGTCCGGTTTTAAAAACAGTGGTTGAGAGAAAGGATTGCAATTCTCGACCCAGTTGGATTAATTAAGTAGGTGTTTGGCAATGGTGCTGGGCATGTGGGATTGTAATCACCGTTTTCTATTTTCTCGACCCAGTTGAGAAAATAGTACCTATTTTTTGTTTGGAATTGATGATGCCACATAGGCTGTTTTCTAAGAAAATAGCACTGGTTTTCAATATGGTCTATATTATTCAATATTCAAGATGATACCATATTAATGTCACATCATTGCATCATTGACAATAATGTACCATTTTCTTAAAAAACATTAAATTTGACGTTACTCTTAATCACATTTTCCTGATTTCCAAAGCTTTGTCTAGAATAATATATATATTTTTTTTGAAAAAACAGTAGTAGACCAAAAAGCATTGTTTGAAGCATATGGTACCGTTTTCTCAAAAAAACGACAATGTCAAACACCCATTAAACCTTCCTCAATCTGGCCCAGCTTGGAATTCGACTGAAAGCGTGACTGGCATGCTCGTGCTTATTGCTATTAGTACCCCACTCTCTGGCACGCACTGAAAAGCTTTAGGCTCAAATCAATTCACACAGTAAATGAATTGATTAAGTTGAATCAAACCTGCCATGATCTGAACCAAAATGGGGTAGAAGTAAATCCAACTACATGAGTATTGAATTTGACAGTAGACTTCAGGCAATGGCCCTTTCCACTTCTACTTGGATCTAGCTGTGTGTATGTGAGTCCGTTTCTCTGACTTTTGTCCCTTAATTTAGTCCAATCAATTCTATGACTAAATACACAAACACAAGGAAGTGTACAGGGAGAAAATGATAAGAAATGATTCACCAAATAAAGTTTCCCTTCTTTTCTTTCCGTCCTCTGTGATGGGAACTAATGATACCGAATAGAGATTTATGGACAAGAATTTGGTTAGACATATCATATCACTTTCCAAACTGATGGAAACTCCCACCATATGTGCTTGGGACCAGAAATGCAATGCGAAAGCCCAAAAGTAGTGATATAGACTGATTTTGAAGATGACAGTTGAATAGGCTTTTCTTATCTATCACTTCAATATGAATGGCTGCAGTGGAACCCAAGTTTATAATCGTATAATTCTAACAATTTCAAACGTCTTTGTGAAACTAAGTATGAAAGGGTGTATACCATTTGGAACAACATAAACAAGTCTCAGACTCTCAGTTTTGGAAGAGTACAAATACAAATATGTACAGTGCATATTTGTATTTGTACTCTTCCCAAACTAGAGTTACAGACACCAAGCGGGAGAAAACAGAAATTACCACTGGAGAGGAGAGGTAATTTTATGTAGATGCCGTGTATTCATTCTCATTGGGGGTTGAGTTAGGGTTTATGAGAGAAATTTCTATTCTTGGGCAACTACCAACTGAGAATATAGTGGATTTCACAGGGGATTCATTGGTGGACGTAGACATCTATTGCCCAACCCTAATCATGTAAATCCTGTCTTCTCTGTGCATTTAATTTTTTTGCTTTGCTTTGTTAGTTTTCTAGATTTTGGTTTACAGGCTATCAGAGACAATACCAGCACCTCACAAAGTTAGAGGTTTTGAAAATAAAATTGGCCTTAAGATTTGGTATTTGACAGTGATATTGATCAAGATATGACAGAAGTGTATGGGGTCTGGATGATCTTCTAGGTTGAGTTTCAGGACGTGTACTTTGTATGGCATCTGGCAAAATGTTAATAGAAGGGGATGAATCAATGGTGCCATTATCTGAAGTGGTAAGAGGTGCTGGTATTGTCTCTGATACTGGCAATACATAAAAGTTAAAACAAATATGGCCATACACGAGAATGATGCCCATAGTGTTACTGTGAATAAAATAAACAATAATGTAGTTTAAGTCTTGCCAAAAGACAAAAAAAAAATAATCATTTAGTGGTAAAAGTGTTCAACTCATCATTTAATTAAGAAATATTTAGGGTCAGTTTGATTTGCAGTTAGAATCCGAATTGGGATAAATTAGAATGGGATTTCATTCTTAAAGAAGAGGGTCATTCCCTCAAACGCCATTCCAGCAAGAATGATCCATACCAGATCCCTATTCATGTGAGCCAATCATACCCTTAGTTTTTTAGTGAATAGTGTTGAGCCCAATAGCTTAAGAACCAAGTCCAGTCATAATCAATCACAGGGATAAACATGAGTCGACAACTCTGATGGTAGGTCACCAACTGCTAAACAAACCCTTTTCTTTTTTTTTCCTACATATGTAATAATTAAATATAATTTACATTGACAAGAATTCAAACATAAAAACGGATAGGCTAATAACGCCGTCCCCTTTGTCCTATTTAATTAAACTTTGCTTTAGGTGTGATATGGAATCTCACTAACGACACCAAAATATCAAAGGAAAAGAAAGATAGCAGCAGTAGAATTAGAAGTAGGAGAAGGAGGAGAGTTGGTCAACCAAGCACATGGGGTTTGGTGTGGAACCATGTGATCCCAATTTTTCTTTTCTGTACTTACTGCCGTGATTAACGGATTATGCTTGCAAAAACTTGTAACATATTTCTGCAAATCGGAGCGGCCAATCCGTGATTAGACCCGCCAACCAACCCATCCCAGAAAAATCCGGGCGGGTTGGATTGGAATTTGCTTGACTAGACTGTACTTATAGGAATTCAATTACCCCGCCATTTCCCCATTTAAATAAACTACATCCTTGGTTACAGCACTGTTGAATTGTTTCCGCAAGAGGGCTGAGCCCAATATTGGTGTGTACATCAACAGCAAAACCCATTTAATAAATTGGTCCGGTCGGCTTTTGGGTCCATTCCCTTGTTGAGAGGACAATTTATTCTGTCCCCCGCCCCGCCCTGCCCTGACCCGACTGTAATTTTAAATATTATTATATTTTAACATATATATATATATATAGATATACACACTCAAATAGGTATTAGTTAAGTGTTAAATCAATTTAGATTATTGACTTTTTATTTTTAAATAAATCTTTTTTCAAAGCAAATTTTTAAAAATAAAGGATTCAAGATTCGGGTCCCTGATGGGAAGAAAACCTGTCTCTGCCAAGGATCGGGGATAGAGGTTCATTTTCCTCCTCGACAAAAATGGAGATAAAAAACAGGGGTTATTTAGATATTGAAATTAGGGATAGAAGTATAATACCCACTCCAAACCCGACTATTGGCCGTTGCCATTCCTTATTGCTTAAGGCGTTAACTTGGTTTAAACTTAAAGTGTTGCTGATAAAGCCAATGAGTGCAAAGGCAAGTGGGCACTTAGAGAGCGTTAAATGGGCAAGAACAGCTAATAGCCAGCCAGGGTCTGGACTCTCTGGAGTCCGGAAGCTGTTGTAGTACTCCATTTAAACTTAAAGTGTTGCTGATAAAGCCAATGAGTGCAAAGGCAAGTGGGCACTTAGAGAGCGTTAAATGGGCAAGAACAGCTAATAGCCAGCCAGGGTCTGGACTCTCTGGAGTCCGGAAGCTGTTGTAGTACTCCAAGCAAGATTGACTCTATATAGGATTAGTGCATCTTATATTTAACAGATTAGGTCGCAGTAGCCCTAAAATGTGCACTTTATTTAATGCCACAGTGGGCATCACCAAGTCAACATTGCCTCCTCTATCATCTTTCTTAGTTGAGATGAACCAAGTCTGGCACAAAAGTTTGTTAGACACCTCTTTATTTGGCTTTTCAAGGGTTGTGGGACCTGAGACACTACTACCAACTCAACCAACCACCGCTTTTTTCATATCCAAGTGTCCCACCGGAAACGGTTTAGATGGCTCATGACTCATGAGTGTGTATACTCAAAAGCAAAGGCCCATCCTAACTAACCCTACTTGAATGTATACCACTTGAGAGTTTTTTCTCTCACCAATTCAGATTCTCCCCTTCAAAGCTAAGCTATGACCCCCCTATATCTCTCTCCCTCTCGTTAGTCCTTTCATCATGCCTTTATGCTTTGTCATGGGGAGAATTCATTATACAAGATTCTGGGTTCTTCCACGTGGCAACTTAGGAAATGCCCAAATTCAATACCCACATATATAGCCTTTATCCAGGGACCAGGATCCCCCTTATATAACATTTTGTCAGCTTATTAACTTCAATTCCTAGCATGGGGAAGGAATTGTGTCGTCTCCTATCTAAGGGCTTACCCCACTTTAATTTCTATGCTGCAATACTCCCTCTTGTATATGCATACTTGCATAGGGAGCATTTTTGCTAGTCGGGCCATGTATTGGGCTTCGGCTTCTTTAGATTTTCAGAGAATGTTACACATTAACATATCAGCTCGGAGTTCAAAATAAGTCTCTGGATTCTACTACTTACCCTTTACTTATGAGATAGATTTTCCCCCTTTTTTTGGCCTCGACATATGCACTGACACATCTATTTTTGCCATGTGGATGCATGCCATGAATGGTCTATGGATTCATCCTAGTATATGCCACATGTTGTTTAATCACATTGTCCATATCAGCCATATGTACGTGCGTGTATGGGTATGGGCAGGGGTGTCAATAGAACCCATTTAAATCAAAATCAATTTTGATGGATTGGACAGACCAATAAAACATTAAATTGGATCAGTCCACATTTAGTTGTCCAAGTATTTATTGGATTGTATTGGACCTAATTCATCCTAATGTTATTTATATTGGATTGGATCAAATTGAACCAGTCTCTGGTCCACTAATGGATAAGAATAGAGGTGCCATTTGTCAATGACCAAATTTGAATTATAACCAATCTAAATTAAAACCAAATTGAACAGATTGGACCGATAAAAAATATGCATCGGATTGGAATAAACCTCGCCTATACGTAATGGATTCAAATTGGATTTAATCCGGTTGGACCAAATCCCGTCCAATTGACACCCTAGTTGGATAGACAGATCAATAATACGTATATTCAAGTAAAGAGTATGAGATATATGATTGCTTGTGTGAAGAATCAAGACACAGGAGTTGCACAGTCAAGACAGGGCACCTGAGCTGAGGTAGCTGAGTTCACGTGTGTCCTATTGTTTTTGTCTGTGTGTATTAGACAAAATCCAATAAATGGGGCGTGGGGCTGACGTGGGGGAGAATTTCCACGTATCCAATCCAAGGAATACCCAATCCTTTGTACTGTTTGGAGGGACCCTGATTAGTCCTCCATGTGACATGAAACCCAGGAACTAGTTCACACTCCAACCCTCCCTGTAAACGCTTCGTCACCTGTGTCTGTCATCCATTTGGACTTTTCTTTAATATAATATTGTTAATAAATAAACCATAGTTTATAATAATAATAATATTTCACTAATTGCTTGAGAATAAGGCAACCCTAAAATTCAATTAACCAATCCTAATTGCATTACATGCAAAAGACATGACTTGATGTAACGTTTTCTCATGTGTACTAAACATCCATACACCAATCACATGGTGTTGGGTTTTGGGATTGACCATTCAAATTTGGGCCCAGATCCAAATGGATGCCCACATGGATCCAACCATGATGCAAACAACAGAAATTCTTCCTTCCTGCTGAGTGCTGTCTGGCCAACCGTCCAGCCCTGTTTGCTGTTTAGGAAGGGAAAACGACATAAACGGATTCAATCCACCTTGTGCACTCCTCCTAGTTCTCTGCTTCTGGATCATGGTAATAGTGTACTTGTACATTCACATGCGAAGAAGTTACCTATTATCATCTATTCGGAATGGAGAGAGGGGGAAATGGGTTTCTGTAATTTTGGTCCAAAGAAAGAATAATAGCGACAAGTCCAATTATGTTCCCATCCATGTCATAAGCATCGCAGTTTTATTTGTCTGCATGGATGTGCAGCTTGAGAGGGATCTCTGGATGGTCAGCTCTCCATTTTACCTTCTTTCTATCCATGCCGGCAATATCTGAAGGAAGATTGACAAGGCAAATTTGGCTGGTGCACTTAATGGTGTGGAGGGCCTTGTTTCAATTAGGTGTACAATTTGAGGTGTTTAGAATCAATGGCATAATCAGATAGTTTTGCCAATTGGATGAAACTAAGGTGTAAGGGTGAAATCGTACATCGAGACCTGCAATCAAGAGAAAGGCCAGAGGCTCGAAGAGTTGTTCCCTGGATAAGTAATCTGAGACTCAAGTCAATAAGATCGAGAATGATGTAGTCGGGCCAAGCAGGTTGAAATAGTGTTGGTTTGGGCTGAAGAAATTGCAAAGAGATGTTTAGAGAGTACAATTATGAAAAAGGGTCCCTTACCTCGAGTTAGGGTGCCAATCGATTGGTTTTGGGTTGGATCCAATCTGATCCAAACCTTATCAAATCAAATTTGGACTGCCCATTGTAATTATTGAATTGGGTCAATCCAAAATAAAATTGTCCATATTCTTATTAGTTTGAATTGGGCCTAAACCAAATTTCCAATAATTTGATCATAAGGCCAAACTCTTATCCAATTTGAAATCAATCAAAACTAAAGCCGGTATAAAAATCACTTTTATGAAAGCACTTTTATGAAAATAAATTTACAAAAATACTTTTATAAAAATAATTTTATGAAAAATACTTTTACAAAAGAACTTTTACAAAAAATACTTATTTACAAAAGTGCATTTTCAATGCCAAAAGGGTGTATTTTTGTAATTTTCAGATTTTTTTCATTTTAATATATTTTTGTATTTTTTTATATGTTCTTTTTTTATATAATTTTTTATATTTCATTCGGTTTGGATTGATCCAATCCATTTACATTTGAATGGATTTGGAACGGATTGGGTCCAGTCCATTTGTAAGTGGATTCACATTGGATTGGATGGGGTTAGACCAAATCTAGTCCAATTGGCAACTTTACCTCGAGCAGTGAATACCTATTTATAGTTGGGTGTCCGTATCTTATATGGATAAGGCTCCTAAGGTTGTTGAGATGAGGGTGTTCGTTGAGGTCTTTGAAAATTTCCTTTTTCCTAGTGGAATTTGCTTCCTTGTCTGTATAGGATACTTCTCCCTAGTTATACTCTTCCGTTATGTGTAACGCCGACGTAGCTTGAGAATGAAGTGGTTATGGAGATAGCCACGTGGCATCTTTCCCAAATCAACCATCACCCGAAGAGTCAGATTGTTTGTTTAGATGAGATTAAAAGTTGAAGTTGTAAAATGGGAAAAAAAAGGGTGACAATAACAAAAGTCTACATAACAAAGACGTTTCAGCTGCCATATGGGCCATATGCCAGAAGGTATAGGTGGGTGATTTGGTGGAAACCAGCAGAAAGGGGTATGAAACATTTTATACTGCATGTGCGTGCAATGGTTATAATATTATCCTTCCACGTGGATAAAAAAAGAGATGACTCGACTAACCGGGCAGGGCAAATCAGGAGATTCAGGACTCACCGTCCAGAGAACCGATTCAAACTTTTATTTTTCTTTTTTGTGATTGTGGTGAAAAAAAATAAATAAAAAAGAACCGCCCTTGGCTTGGCATTCGTTTCACACATTCAAGTTTGAAGTTTGATCATAATTCAAAGCTCAAACCCCACTTTATTAAACAACAAAAATGTTTGAATTTAAAAGAGGAAACAACCAAGCATACCAAAAGAAGAAAGAGAGAGAATATTAGTAATTAATAATATTAAATTATTAAAAGAAGTACAGAGTACAGACATGCGTGATATGCACAGATACACATGATTCAAGACCCGCCTACAATGGTGAACGGTCCTGGGTATACTGTATACGAATGGAGGAATCTAGGCCGTCCATGTAAACTCCACTTGAGAGATTTCCTGATCCAAGACCAGGAGTTGAGTGTCAGTTTTTAATCACTTTAATTGAGTTGATCATCACGACCATCTCACCATATCCTTAAATGATCCGATCAGTCATCAGAGAGTATTGGAATACGTGACCCCACGTAATTATTTTCCACGTGTCGTACATGCAAGTAGGGCATATTAAGACTACTCTATGTTTCAATGCATATTATCCTCATTTTTAACAGAAGCTTTATGAATAGCTGGACTGCCGGAGTGGTTGAAAGTGGGAAAGAAACAAGGTTAAACAGATGAAGGTGAAGTAAAACATGTAGAGAGAGAGAGAGGGCGGGATTTTTTATTTCTTTTCTTCTAGAGGTATTTGTTGGGCGGTGAGGAGAGGGGATTTTTCTGGACCGAGGGCGAGGGGTTTGGGTAATAGAGACATAGAGATAGAGAGCAATAGCTGTCGAAAGGGCGTTTCGCAGCGCAGAGCGAACGCTTCAACCGCATTGTTTCCCGGCTACAAGGTATCCAATCTCTTGCTTCTCTCTCTCTTGCCCCCCTCAATGTGCTTGCGATTTTTCAGATTAGGTACTCCATCCACCCACATTTCTCTCTCTTCTAATTTTCTGTTTGTTTCTGGTGACGGTTAGGGTTAGGGTTTGGTTTGGTTCGATTCTCTAGCAGGAGGAATTGTTGTTTGATTCTGGTTTTGCTTTTGCTGTCCTGCATTATGGTTCCAATTTTGCTAGGGTTTTGTTGAGAAATGGGGTTTTCTGTTGGGTATTGTTGTTGGACAGATGTATAGTTGAAGGTGAAGAAGGAAAGAAAAAAAAAGAGAGCAAAGGTGGAAGGATTTTGGCGTTTCTAGTGGCTCGTCTTCGTCGTCGGAAGAAGATCTGCGGATTCGCCGGCGGAAATGAGCGCTTCTAGGTTTATAAAGTGTGTCACTGTCGGGGACGGTGCCGTTGGTAAAACATGTATGCTGATTTCCTACACCAGCAACACATTCCCCACGGTGAGCTTTGAAATTTCCATGTTTTTATTCATTTTGTTTGATTCTGAAGAATTTACGGCTTTCCATTGTGTTCGTTTGGTCGATCACCATGAAACAGAAAATGCTTGCTTGTTTAGGGCTTCATGGTTTTTTTTCCAGGTCGGTTTGCGAAATGTATTTACACAATGAAAGCATGTGAAAGAAGTAGCATATTTTGTATTTGTTTCCTAATTTCCGGTGTTTGTTTCTTCTCTGATTTCGGAAGTGATTGGAAAAGAGAATTTTTGTTTTGAGATTTCGTATTTTTGAAATCCTTATATGATATTGCTTTATGTTTTTGTCGGTGCTCGACTTTTCTTTTGCCCTCCATGCCATTTCTCTGCTTTTTATTTTCTTCATTTTAATGTTTCCTTTTGTTGTGGGCCAAAATAAATAATCCCCTATTTTTCTTTGAGGTAGATGCACTTTTTATGCTTGTAATTCTTCCACTTTCTAAAGCCCTTAATTTTCATAGTTGATGCTGATAACTGCCCTGCTATAAGAGTTACCTATTATGGATTTTCTTTAATTAGCGTTGCTTTGCTTGATTTCTAGAAATATCTGTTGAAGAAAAATCACTTTCACAAATTCATTTCTGTTTTTGGATGTGGGAATGGTTATTGTATGGAAATCTTATTGTTTACTTTTCTTTTATAATGAACTACAGGATTATGTACCAACTGTTTTTGACAATTTCAGTGCAAATGTGGTTGTTGATGGGAACACAGTCAACCTTGGGTTGTGGGATACTGCTGGTAATGTTAACTAGTTCTCTCCCTCCATTCTCCTTTCTCTTGTCCAGTTACTTTTTATTTTTTGTTTTTCATTTTGGCTTCTGGTTTGAATTTTTTGTTTTATCGAACAGGTCAGGAGGACTATAACAGATTAAGACCTTTGAGTTATCGAGGGGCAGATGTTTTCCTGTTGGCCTTCTCTCTTATTAGCAAGGCCAGCTACGAGAATGTAGCCAAGAAGGTGGGGACTTGATCATATATATGTGTTCAAAAATGGAGCTTACCTTTCTCTAGAAGGAAATTTATCTTTAGTTGTCATATTGATTTATTGGTTGCCAATGATTTTTTATTTGTTTTGATTGTTGTTTTCAGTGGATTCCCGAACTGAGGCATTATGCACCTGGTGTTCCCGTAATTCTTGTTGGAACAAAGCTTGGTGAGAATTATATCTTGTGCCATGTGGTTTCTCAATTTTACTTTAGTTCAGTCATTTTGTTTTTGAAGACTTGCATCATTCTATCTGGTTCCGTAATTTGGCTAAAGTAGTTGGAAATTTTGAAGTGTGTTTCTTTTGTCATCAGTTTTTCTGTAGCTTTTGTAATTGATTTAATTCTACCCTTTATATGGTCCTATCTGGTTCTGTGATTTGGCTAAAACAGTTGGGCATTTTGAAGTCTTGTTGTTTTGGTTATCAATTTTGCTGTGCCTTTTATAGTTGATTTTGTTCTACCTTTTTTTTTTCTTTAACCCAGAAGCATAGGACGACCTCTAGACTTAGCTGTTTTTCTAAAAGGCTTAGGCTGCATTTGGGAAGAGTACAAATACAAAAGTGATTGCTACAAATGCCAAGGTTTTAAAAGACTAAAGGTAGAGGGAAGGCGGTTGGGTGCTGAAGAGGCGATGTGTCAGCCTCAAGGCAGTTTGAGGTGTAAGCCTCAAAGTACAAATATAATTTTTAAAATTTGTATGTATATAAATACAATGTACCTATGTATATAAGCACACAAGTTATTTCATTTTAAAGCAAACTTACATATTTCTTTTTATTGCGTATATATAGTTTTTATTATGAGCCTTTAAGGGTTCAATTTATTTATTTCATAGAATTTTTTATATTTATATATTTTTTGTCTTAAAATTAATCATATGTTTGTTGGTAATCATTTACCTAAATAAAATTATCCATTTATTTAATTTACATGTTTCATAGTTTATTCATATATATCCAACAAATCAAAATTCTTTTTAATTTGCTTGTATATTTTCCAAATATATTTTTCTTACATTGTTAATTTGTATATTTTATTTTTTATTAAATTATGTTCTTTTTAATATGTGACTTTTTTAATTCTATTTTACATTTATAACCCTTTCTTACTAAATAAAAATAACTTTACTTGATTCATTTTGTTAATTGTAATTAGATTTGTGGAAAAATACCTATTCTAACATGTGCATTTAGTAAGAGAAAAATAGATGACATGTTTTAGTTTTAGCGTTTTTTGTACAAGGCTTATGCCTCGCCACTTTGAGGTGCGAGGTGATGAAGCATAAGTATTTAATAGAGGTGCTAGCCTCTTAACATAGGGGCAAGGTGCCTGAAGCCAGGCATTTTGGCTCTGCCTCACCTTGAGGTGTGCACTTCAATGTCACACCTGAGAGCCTTTTAGAACTATGACAAATGCAAATATGTCTCATTAAAAAAAAATGCAAAGTTGGTTTAGTTTGTATTGATAATTTTGTATTCTTGCCAAATGATTTTTAGTTGTGATAGGTACAAACACAAATCCCAAGATTGAAATCCACCTTTTTTACATTGAACAACTTGAGTGCATGGATGCAAACTCTTGCTCTCATTTGAATGCAACCATGCCTTGGGAATCTGTTTTTTCTGTCATTATCAATACACATACATTCTTACCAAACACCCACAAAACTGAACCAGAGTGCATATATGCAGTGAGCCGGCATTTATCCTCTTCCCAAATGCTGCCTTAGTTTCATAGGCAAGGTTTATTTTGTAGGGTTTGTGGTATGACTCACTTGAACTCAGGTGTTGGGTTGTTATTATGTTTACATGAATTAACCTTGTATCTGAAATTTGATTAGGTATTTAGTATAATGTAAATTGAGGCATTTCTAAACATCTATTTTGTTCAAAAGACATGTTTGGTAAAGATAAGCATTGACATGGCATTTTTTGTGTTTTCTCAAAAATGGTTAGGTGTTCACACATTCTTGGCATGCATGGTTAATTATATGTCCATATATTTTCTAATATTTTCATAACATATTTCCATTTCCATGGGTGTCAACACAAAAGGTTACTGGAGTTGACATATTCCTCAATGAAAACTCTTGGTGCTATGTAGAGTACAAGAGATAGTATTATAACATAAGTTAGCTGGTGGTGATATTTTAGATATGTAGAGAAGTGATTTAAAAGGCACGCCTAGGTGCACAAGGGAGGCACATTTTATGGTATGTGCCTTACCTAGGTCCCAAGCACAGCACTTTCAAAAAATGTGCGTCTGCTGTGCCCTGTGCTTCAGCCCAGGCACTTGTCTTGAAAATTTGTGCATTTTTTTTTTCTGTTTTTTATGCCTTGCAGCCCGGCCAGGAGCTCTGCCCTGGACCCCCTATTTGTTAATGTTGCTCATTCATTCATCCTAATAAAAGAAATTTTTTAAAGAATTTAGAAATTTAAGACCCTAATATGGATTTATTTGGGCTTGCCTTGAGGGGCTTGGTATAAAGGCAACTTGTAGAATCAGGAATGCATAATGTTTAGTATTTTACATTAGCTATTTGAAGTAATGCAATTGGGAAAAAAAATAAAGAGGTTGAGAGTTTTACATACTTGAATATGTTTTATATGTTATGCTTGATTTTAATTTTAAATTTTCATTTTAAATATGTTTTACATGTTATGTTTAATTATTTTAATTTGAGATAATAGGTTTTTTAAAACATTTATTTGAAAATTATAGTTTATATTTTTAATTATCATTTTCTTAATATTTTGCAATTTTTAAATTTTGCCTTTTTTTTGAATTTATAGTCATTTCTTTTGCACCTTGCTTCGAAAAGATGCACCTCGCCTTGTGCCTTGGGTGCAAAATGCCCCTTGCACTTTTAAAACACTGATGTGGAGTAGCATTGTTGTTGCCTGCCTATTGGACATGAAGCTAGTTTGCATATTTTACAATGTTTCCAACATGCCTTTAATTTTTACAGAAGTTCCATGTGACGTTTCCAACATTTCTGACAGTTTCTTGTATTTGGATGACCAGTATTTCCACCAACACTGGCATTTTAAACCTTGTTTCTTATATGATGTTTCATCTGTTTTCTTAATCTTAATTTTTGATGGAACAGGCTTACCAGATACATTTTCTTGTAGTATCATCAAAGCTTTGAGCATTTGTTTGCTTATATAGCTGATTATTTCTAATAATTGCTTTAAATATTTGTGTTGGAAAATTATTGGCTAATGGTATATAAAAAGCCATAAAATAAATGAAGGCAGTGGAGTTACAAAGTTGCCACAAACAAATGATGCATCAAATGGTCAAGGTTGCACACTTTGCAAGATATAGGCTGTAATTCCCTATCTTGGCCCATCCAGCCCAACATTTTATGTACCAAAATTACCAGTTCTCATCTCATCATTGATAAAACTTGTTTTCTTGAGTAATTTGATGAATTGGTTTCTCATTACTCTTTCATAATTAAATTTTCGATTTTTATTTAATTTAATGGGTCAGTCCAGTAGGATAGGCATTTGAAGAGTATTTTCCAGTGTTCAGAAAACTGGACTGGACTGGCTGGTTGGACCGGATTAATTGTGACCCAGACCCCTGGCTGGTTCAGTGGTACCACTAAAACTGCATTGGGTAAAAAAATGGCCAAACCTGCTGATTTGGACAGTTGAACTGGAAAACTGGTGATCCGGCCCCGCTTTTAGAAAACTGGTCGGTTTTTGAATTTTTTTAGCACATAAATGCAACCTTCTAAAGGCCACAACTTTGTGCTTGGATGTCTAATTGGGGTGATCATTTTTTTTTTATTTTGGGAACTTTTTGAGATCTACATGTTCCCAATGTGTCAAAGGTGCCTTTCCCCACTATTTTTGCTAACAAATTCCTTTTGTCCTCGATCTTAATATTTAGTATAAAAATTTGAAACTAAAATAGAAAATATATGTTATAGAAGAATATAATTATGTGTTATGAATATATTATGATCTAATATAATTTATAATATATATGTTGTCATCATGGTTCGAGATCCGGTTGGACCCAGGGTGAACCTCTCCCTTTCCCAGGTTGATGCATTTTCTGGTTCTCAGAACATTGGTATTTTCTTAGATTGAGCCCAAGGGGAGACTGAACTTTTTGGATCCTAGTTGTATAACCATCATTTACTGCTCAGCTTGAGGCCTGGCAGATTTAGTCAATTGAGCAGATTTTGCCTTGCTTTTGGGAAGCTCCTGAAATTTGGTCAGGGCTAGGGTTAGATTTTGGTGACTTGCTTTGGTCTTTTTGTGCGTTATCCTTCATTCAACTGCTTGTCTTGGTTTCCACAAGCTTTCCGGCCTTTTCCCCAGCCTATTATCCACAATTAGATAACATCAATTGTTTTTTCAATTACTTTGTAATAGAATTTGTTTTCTGGTTTGCCTCCTTATGTCCACAATGTTGGCAAATACGACAAGGGGATTATTACTTATTTTGGCCTCTTCCCAGGCAATGTGGTGACTAGTCAGTGCCTAGGGCACTGAGTAGTTGACCACAAAAGATATGTTATAAATTTAGGATACCTTTGATGACAAGCTTCCCAAACTCTATCCTCATTTTTGGAATTTGAAAAGATCTTGAGTGTGTTTGACCTTGAAATATCTTTCTTCTAAAGCCCAACTAAATGCCATTAAAGTTGACTAGGCTGACTTGTTGTATGTGCACCCAGTCAATTTATTCAATGTTAGTCACTCTCACATGATGGGCACCAGCCAACTAGTTGGTAATGCAGTCAGTATGACCCTCAACTGACTAGTTGGCACTATGATAATACTGGTTGTCCATTATCTGCGTTACTGTATTTTGGTTTATGACACTCATTTTAGTACTGGCCCTTTATTTCTATGTGGGTTCAAGATTTCTGGACAAATTCCAAATATTCTGCCAAAATTTGGTTGAATGTTTTGACTTATTTTGGTTGCAAATCTTTCAAAGGCCTAGAGATAATCAGATCTTTCTTTTCTGCGGATCAAACAAAAGATACTCCATGGAGGCATGGAATATTCCCTTCAACAAAGTTGTCAACAAAGTTTGGGGTGGTCTCCCTGAGTACAGGGTGACCATCTGTAATTTACCCCTAATTTTTTGATGAATGTTACCTTGGTTTTCACAGGATAACGCTAAGGAAGTTTCTATGTAGGGCCAAAAGGAAAACAAATAGAATTTACAAGACATCTGCATAAAATGGTTTATGATATTCATTATCCTGCTTATGCAGATCTTTCTATAGAAATTAGAGTGGTAGCGTTCATCTATTCGTTTGTTTATATTATTGCTTTTGTACTTGTCCATGTAATACTGTTAAATGTGTGTTTTCCTATCTTTGTATCTAATTTATGTGTGCATACATGTGTTGAAAGTAGAAAATTCAGAATGTTAACTTGTTATTATGCACAGCATCTCGTATTTTAGCTTCAATTTCATGGGCATTTCTTGTTGGCAATTTGTGGCTCATCCTACGTTGCAGATGTCCGGCCTTTTTGTTATTATTGTTTTTTCTACTAATGGATGCAAATCCTTCTGTTTTATGACTCCTTGTTATACTGTGCAGATCTTCGGGATGACAAGCAGTTCTTCGTTGATCACCCTGGTGCAGTACCCATTTCTACTGCTCAGGTAAAGGACCAAACAATACCATTTTCAACCCTAAAGGTTTCTAGCATCCAATTTTCTTGAGAATAATTTCCTGGATTGTTTTCATGTTGAAGGGAGAAGAGCTGAAGAAATTGATTGGAGCTCCTGCCTACATTGAATGTAGCTCAAAAACCCAGCAGGTGTATATGCTTGATTTAACCTTAATGAATAACTGTGGAAAAGTCTCGTAGCCTTGTTATTGATGGGTTGTGTGCAACCTCCTTGCAAATGCAGAATGTTAAGGCAGTCTTTGATGCGGCCATTAAGGTGGTTCTCCAGCCGCCCAAACAAAAGAAGAAGAAGAAGAGAAAGTCTCAAAGAGGGTGCTCCATTTTGTGATTATGGAAAGAATAGGTGCAGAAGGAAAGATAACTATGTGATATTTCTCCTGTAGTCTCTCTCAACCTCTTTCTGCCTCTTGAGGAAGCAGCAGTGCCTTGGTGTATAGTCTCGACTGACACTACTAGGGAGCTCAATGAAAGCATCAGGTGGTTTGTTTTCTGGCTTTCTCGGTGTTATTGTGATCTGTAATCAACGATTCGCAGTGTTAAATGGTTCCATACACATCACTCTTGTTATTTGGATTTAGATTCATGTCAAATATTAACCAGATGTGAGTAAGATCCCCCCATCTGAAAACAACTGTTCCTCGTCATGGACTTGATTATAATTCATATTTTGTATCCCTATTTAAAAAACACTGCAAAGGGGCCTTGGCTATGTTTGCGATGCTGTTCGGTGTGCTATAACTACTTGCAGCAGATGCTTGGGAAATGGGAGTTGGATGTGATTTGTGAATTGTGAATTGTGATGTTAAAACTTTATGGTGAGAGCTAGTTTTGATTGTTTGTCTTTATTCTTTTTTCGAAAATTTAATTTTTTCCGAAGAGTTGTACTCCATTCTTTTGTCTAAAATGGATGAAAATCGGTCATATGGTACATGGTACATCAAGAGTTTCAGCCACCCTCAATCATTTAGCCTCCATTTGGTGGGGATGAGAAAAAGGTAATATTCTAAAAATTTTCTTTTTTTTTTTCATTTGTTTCAAAGGAAATAGGGGGATGGGATAAGAAAAGGTGGGATGTGAGATTTCAAAATTGTACAATCGGGTTGCACCAAAATAGTGACCTTGGTGGAAAGACGTGAGAAAATTTGAGTTTCCATCTCCCTCCTCCCGTAAAGTGCATCGGAGTGGATCGTCAGAGTCAGAGTTAGAAGAGCACGACCATGCCAAAGGTGGCAGCGATAACGATGTTAACGTTGTCGATCATGACCATTCAAAAGTTAAGGTAATAACTTTCGGGAAGATCATTTGAGACGAACAATAGAAGGAAATGTTCGACAACAGGAAGATCAATCGAAAGTTCAGGTGGAAAAATGCTTTGGAGCAAAAGTTTGAAACTGAAACCCAGGAGTTCGAGTAGAATAGAAGGGAACATCGAGCTCTTTGGGTTCTGCATAACTGTTTTTTGGAGTAAACTATCAAAGAACAAAATCATCAACCATCGGTTCAGGAATTTAATGGAATTAAATTTAATTAAAATAATAATATAAAAAGAATATGTCTTAGAAAGAAGGCTTCGAGGCCATACAAGTTATAGTGGCAATATCGGGAATAAACAGAGAGGTTGAAACGAGAAAAAAAAGAAGAGAGGAGAAAGAGAGTGGGAGAGGTGGGAGATGAGGGGGTAGCCGTCACCTCTGTTCGTCTCAAACAAAGGAGGTAGATGAACAGTGCTATTTCGGTCCTCCTTTTGTTGATCCCGTACCCGACTTGGGAAGATCATTTTACACTTTCCCATCCCATCCCATATAAAACCAAACAATAAAAAGTTAATTTTTATACTTTTTCATTCCAGTCCATATTTTTCCATCTAACCCAAATCTTCTTACAAACCAAACGAAGCCTTAGTAAATCAGGCCCAAACATACGTGTAATCGGTCAAAGATTATGAGCTACGTGGTCAAAGGAATAAAGTAAATTGAGCGTTCGAGAAGCCTAGTCGTCTGCAGGAATATTATATTACTATTGTGTCCGTGTCTTCTTTCTTCTGCTTTTGGGATGGGCTGAGAGTTTTGCCTGTTTGCGACAATCTTGATTCTTGACTGCTTTCAATTTCATGTTGCCTTTCGCGAAAAAGAAATGGAACCTGCCCAGATTCTCATGGGGGTTGAACTGTTGTAGCTAAGAACGAATATCTTTCTCGTGGACGTGGGCCCTGAGATTCCTCATTTTGATATTGAAATGGAGTTAAATCTCAACTATCAATTTAGTAGGATAGGAACCTTGCATTCATAAATGCAAGTGTGAATGATGGGGCTCCGTTAAAAGTTAAAACAAAATTATGGAATTGCCAGCTTAATATTATGTATCAAGGCAACGGGATCTGTACAAAGTTGAAATTCCAAACCTTTTAAATTAAGGTTTCTTGAAACTTGAAAGAGAGACGCAATCAATAACCATTATTTTCAGCCACTGCGTACCGTGGGTCCTTTTATTATATCTTTTGAAATTTCGGTATTGGGATTTGGGAGTAACTTCTCTGAAAATCTTTCGTTTTATCATTTTTTGGGTAAATTATACGGAACCCCCCCGTACTATGGGGTCAGTGACAAACACCCCTCACTTTGTTTCGACAAATACCCCTTAAATTTTTATGTTGCGAAAAATACCCCTCTATCGTTAACTCAATTAACGATAGGCATTAAATTACTAAAATACCCCATTAACCTTTCTCTATTTTCCTTCTTTTTTTTTTTTTGCCATTCTCTTAAAACAACTGACCGAAAAATATCTTCATTGATTTTCAAGGGAAAATAGTGACGGTCTCTCTTTCGCCTAATCCCCGTGTTGCGAAGGTTGTAAGGATTTGGGCGAGTTCGCCATGGGGTGAAGGAAGCTCAGAGGCTGCAATCTGACGGTAGAGTGCTACAAGCACTTCGTCTGGTTCAGAATTGCTCCTCACAACTATAGACAAGTTCTTTATGTGAATTCCAACAAAGTTCAGAATTCAAAGGGAAAAGACATGATTCCATTTTATGGGCTTCTGGTTGTCATAAGCAGGACCCATTTAAAAGTAGCATGCTTCAGGACTTCTACAACTCATTTCTTGGTTGCAGTCTCTTCCCCAGATTTCAGATTAGAGAGCCAAAGCCGGTCCATGATCGTTTATCGCCCTGTGGAGGGGTCGGTTGTTGTTGAGATGGTTGTGGGGGACGAGTACCCACTATCAGAGATGATTCTTTTTTATGGTAGTCTTCTGCTTGCTTTCTATAGTTCCACCACGGAGCATATAGCCGATCAGCATGCCGAGCCGTGGCGTCCCTTTACAGGTCTAAGTGACCCATGTTTTGAAGCCTGTATGTATGCACATTCGGACGGATCCATTCATTCCATGTGCACCAGCGAGCTCCGTCTCTCGTCAATGACCTGATCCCAACTTCTCTGTTAATTGGCTGGAAGGTTGATTTCCGGTGGATGCCTTTGACTGCTCTTGAATTTAGATCCGTCACACAGCTTTAAGAGAGGGCTTTTTTCTCGGTTTTAATACTTCTGCTCTGCCTGTCTACTCACCGCCCTGAATCTTGAGGCTTTTTTTTTTCATGACGACGCCTTTAACTGCTCTTGAATTTAGATCAGTCACAGAGCTTTAAGCGAGGGTTTTTTCCTGGTTTTAATACTTCTGCTTTGCCTGTTTATTCAAACCCTCGAATCTTGCGGCATTTTTTCATGGAAGTCATTGTTGCCGTAACCTATCTCTCTCATGCTTTCGTTTGGCATCAAGATATCACGTTCATGCAGCATCTTTCTCTTCCAAGTTAGAAAACAATTTGAGGTCGTGTAGTCCAAGGCCTTTCTGGGTCGTAGTTGATATATGCGGAAACCTCCTCTGAATTCGGTGATATCTTAATCAGAGGAGACGATGAACATATACTTGACCCGGATTTGCAGTTATTCCGAACACCATAGACTCGACCCTTGTAACTGGATTTCTGGAACGGTGAATTAATGGAACTCAATCGCAAAGGCAGAGCGATCTTAGACCAGGAAGCATCATCTTTGGGGATTTGTCTGCTACTAGAGTTCTCGCTATAACAAGGAACAAGGCGATCAGTAGTACAGGAAGCGCAAGAAGAAAGACGAACGGGAGGAGAGCGGAGGAAAAGATGATGAACAGTACAAAGTATAAAAAAATTAGATAGTTTCATAAATTAATGAAAAGGGTAATTTGGATATTTAGAAACATTTAAACAGTCGGATGATAATTTTCTTCGAAATTAACGGACGGAACATTAACGAAAAGGGTCTTTATCTAACGGTCAAAGTTTAGGGATATTTGTTGAAAAAAAAGTGCTGGGTCTTTGTGACTCACCCCATAGGTTCTGTCCACGAGAAGTCTGCCCACATCTACACACAACACGTTACTCCCGTGAGTTGGGAACATCGACCCCTGCATAATACCATGTAGGAGGATGAGATGTTCTCAATGTGTGGCTGTGATGTTATGTGGGTCATGATTTCAAAACCGGATCGGATCGGATGGTCGGATCAGAAAAATCAGGAACCAGTTAGGTGACTGGTTTTGGTTTTCCCCAAAACCGGATTTTTCATAAAAATCGTTGATTTTGGTCAACAAATCGCTGATCTGGGCGGTGAATCACTCGAACCGTTTGAACTGTTTTGACCGATTTTCATTTTTTCTTATTATTTTTTATTTTTTTTGTTAGAACGGGCCGATTGTTTAGGTCGGACCGTTCGACCCGGTAACTAAACCCCTGACCGGTTGACCTCCGGGTCGGTTTTAAAAACCATGATGTGGGTAGACGTGAGTAGAGTTTGTGTGGTAGGAGATTCGAACTTGTATAATTTATATTTTCTTTGGGGAGAATGACTGATTAGTCCAGGTTAGAATTTTTTAGCCCCAACGTACCAGGATGAATTCTGACTTTGGATTGATGCCAAATCTACGAACAGGATGCGGTTTATAAGCGGGCAGGAGGTTGTAATTAAGAATTCTGCATTGTACTTAACCTTTCTTTTTGACGAGTATGTATTATTTTTAAGGTAATTTTTTTAAATTATCTTATAGTTTAGCTAATATTGACTAATGCTATCCCTATTGTTTTAAACAATTGATTAATACTTTCCTAATGTTCCCTCATAAAAGATCCAAATATATATTACGTGACTGTTATAACTTTCGAAAATATCCAATTTACCCTTGTTGTAAATTCTAGCATTGACATTTTGCAAAACCCTAACCTTTCAAAGCCTTTCACATCTCTAAGGAATTGACGAGAGGTGGCGGAGAGGGAAGCACCAAATCCGTGGTGGTGGAACGAAGGAAGTGAAAGAGGAGGGGAGAGACAAAGGAGAGAGAGGTCGCGGGAAAGAGAGGTGGCCATGAGCTCCAATAGTAGAAGAGAGCTTTGATCCGTGTGCCAGAAGAGGATGATTTGGCGTTGCTAACTAGGAACGAGCACCCCTTTGAGAACATCGGCAGCAATGAGCACCACCGTCAAGTTCATTTTCCTGCAATCTCATAACATCTTCAAGGAAACAAGAAAATGGTAGAAGAAGAAATCACGCTATTTACGTCCAGAAATTTGGGACATCATTTGTTGTTCTATGAATTAATTTTAAAAAGCTGTTTTGATGACTACTTTTGCTTCCTATGAATTAATTTTAAGAAGGAAAGAGAGAAATGACCAAGAGATTGAGGGAAAGAGAAGACCACCAATATAGGTGATGGAAACGGTAGGAAGGCGGGTAGAAGAAGAAGAAGAAACGAGAAGAGAGAGATCACTGGAGAGATAATTGGTGGAGGGAAACCGTTCCATGTTGTGCCAGTTCCGTCCAGAATTTAATGGTAACCGGAAGTTGATGCACCAGCGTCGAAGATCATACTTGTTGAAGAAGGCGGTATCTGTAGATGTATTCTCTCTCTCTCTTTCTTTCTTTTCTATGTTTTATCTTGAAATTTTGAAGAAGAATAAAGGGTAAAATAGTCTTTTTTGTCTCTTAACAGTAAGAGAAGTATTAGTCAATTGTTAGAAACAATAGGGGTAGTGTGGATAGTTTAAGAAATTTACCCTTGGGAGAGTGACGGTTCAGCCGAGGGTCAGAATTCTTAGGCCCAAAGTGTAGTAGGGGTAGGTGCCAGTTCAAAATTGATGCCAATTCATGGGTGTGCATTGGTGCATAGAATAGGGGTGTTTGACATTTTGAACTTTTATAGGTCTGCACTGGAATTCAAAAATCTTCAATGGGTCTTTCCATACTTTTCCGTTATTTTTATACTCATTATTAAGGATAAATTACAAAGACCCCCCTGTACTATGGGGTTTATGACAAAGACCCCCTATACTTTGTTTTGCAACAAAGACCTCCTTTACTATGACCGTGAGACAAAAATCCCCTTCCATTAGTTTTCTAATAAAATTTGCCATTGCAATATTTTTTAATCCCATACTACCCTTCTAATAACGATGGGAGAAAATCACTATTCATCTTCCTCGACTCACCATACACAAACAGCAACAGCAGTAGTGGTGGTAATCCCTTCTTACTCAGATTTCTTCACATTTTTCTCTCTCTCCTCCGATCTCTCTTCTTCCCCTTCCCCTTTCTCTCCTCCCCTTTCTTCTTCCCTCTTTCCTCTATTCTATCTGTTCTATCCAAACTGTCTAGTCTTTAGACTCTCCTTGGTATTCTCTCTCCACCACCTGAGCTAAGCTACTGATTCTGCAATCCCGCCATGAGAAAAGTTAGAAAAGGAAGTTGTGGTCTTGAAGTTCCATGTTCTGCATTCTTACTATCCATTGGGTTCGCTGGAGTCGATTGTGAATCCTGTGCAACATACTTTAGCGACGGAAGTATTACGAGGGTTACTGGGTCGGTGCCTCGGTGGCGATTGATATGGGGATCGTTCAGGCATCGATAACCCAGACAGTTTTTTATCAAAATCCAGTTTCCATCTTTGCAGTTTTGAAGGTTTTCTTGCCAAGAGAGATTTTTGGGAAGGAAGCCCTTTGGGGCGACGAGGAGTGGAAATGCAGGGGTGGGAGCTGTGCCTCTAGAAATTTCGTTTTCGTCAAAGAATTCACCTTCTCTGGAGATCCCACCAACCCATCTCTCCTCTCCTTTCGGTTTCCGCGAGGAGATCTGATCGGGTGCAGCCGTTACTGGCGTACAAAGAACCGCCGTTGTTGTTGCTCTCTGCTATAATGGTACTAGTGGTATGAGATTTTTTTTCAAAATTTATTTTCTGTTTTTTACTTTTTAATTTCGTTTTGGTTTTGATGTTTTTTTTTTAATATTTTTTTTCCTACACGAAAAATTGTATGTAGCTGCAAAGCAGCATTCTTTTCTTGGGGGTGGGCTTTACTGCTTTAGTTTAGCGGTCGGAAGATTTTTGTCAGAATAATTTGAGGACAAAAATACCAAATTTCCCCTCTGGTTAGTGATCTGATCGATGTGTTGCTGTAAAATGCTGGGAATCAGTCTCTCTACATATTTCTTTTGGCTTGTATGAGTTGTTTAAAAAGAAAAAGCCATTTGACCTTCTCATCGACCGTTGATGAACGGCTACGTCATCGACACAAGAAAGAACCACTCGGTGTCCGTAACCTCTTCCTTGACAGGATCATCTGCAGACACTTGGACCTGGAAATCAACGATTTAAGCCATTTGACCTTTTCATAAATGCTAAGGAATCTCAGGTAGAGGAGAAGATGAACAGTATTTTTCTCACGGAGATTAAAAAATATTGTAAGGTCTTTTTAGATAAAAGGCTAACAGAAGGGGATTTTTGTCTCACGGTCATAGTAAAGAGGAGTCTTTGTCGCAAGATAAAGTACAAAAGGTCTTTGTCACAGAATCCATAGTAAAGAGGGTCTTTTTAATTTACCTTATTATTAATATTATACTTTATTCTGTTGGTGGATTTACCAAATTTCGTATGCACGCAACGTGCCCCTAAAATTTTGATTCTGATTATACGGCGACCGGAGGTGGCGCTTCAATCGTTTTCAAGAGTGTAAAGCCAACCGATGTTTAGAAGAGTGTGCCATACATATTCCGATTCTGCCATTTTTCTAACCCGTACAGCCCATACTCGATCAAGTGAGTGATTTTTCCAATGAAGCAACTGGTGTTTCCTTACCATTAGTTTTCACCTTATTTCTAATTTCTTGATTCTTGACTTGTTTCTCTCTTTTTTTTTTTGTTCTGTAAATGGAATCTATACCGTGCGCCCACTTTCTCTGCCTAAAGAACAAGAACCAATGGACCATCCTCCTTTTCCTTTGTCTTTCCCCAGCAATAACGCCACCGCCAATTCATCCATTAAATACATCCCATCCACCCCTTACGTGGGGAGTATCCAGAGATAGTTTTCCTTTGCGTTCCTCTCCCTCTAATTTCTCATTCACATCGAGAACTTCCACTCTCGTATTGCTAGAATGGCTTCCAAAAGAATTATCAAGGAGCTCAAAGACCTGCAGAGAGACCCACCAACTTCATGCAGCGCAGGTACCAACCTGAATAAATCAAAGTTTGATTGGTAATCTGGTTTTGTAATCAAACAAGCTAATGGGTGAATCATTTGGATGCATAACTGATCATGGAAGTGACTTTCAGGTCCGGTGGCTGATGATATGTTCCATTGGCAAGCAACCATTATTGGTCCAAATGACAGCCCCTATGCTGGGGGTGTTTTCCTTGTGACCATCCACTTCCCACCTGATTATCCTTTCAAGCCTCCAAAGGTAAAAGTTGGAATCCTTTGTGAGTCTTCTTTCTGAGGTTATGGTTTGCCTTTGTGATTCTCTATGTATTGAGTCTTCTTTCTGTCTATTTTCAATAGTGAAATTTATTTCTTTCTTTTTGAACTGGTGACAGGTTGCCTTCAGGACCAAAGTTTTTCATCCTAATATCAATAATAATGGGAACATCTGCTTGGACATACTCAAGGAGCAATGGAGTCCTGCACTCACAATATCCAAGGTAGTTCTCTTAAGTCAATTACTTCCTATAGACACCACATCGCTCCATTGGTCGAAATGTATAGTTCCTGAGTAATTAAATTTGGCATTCTTTCAGGTTTTGCTTTCCATATGTTCGCTGCTGACGGATCCGAACCCAGATGACCCACTTGTTCCTGAGATTGCTCATATGTGCAAGACTGACAAGGTCAAGTATGAGTCGACAGCTCGCAGCTGGACTCAGAAATACGCTATGGGTTGAACCCGATGTTGTTACAATCTTGTAATGCACCTCATTTCTGATTTTGTATTAAACCTCCTAAATAACGTTTCTCCTCTTGTCTACGCTTCTACCCAAGGATAGACTATAGAGAAGATTTTCCTTTTGCTATTTACATTACAGACTTTCAAGAATAACCAATAATGTTTGATGGAGTTTTTCCCCCCTTTTATTTTCAGTTTATAGATCAAACTGGTGAATGTTGGCTTGCCTCCATCCTATTACTATGTTTCCAAATTATCTCCAAATCCGACCAAACGAGCAGAAATTTCAGTCGTGTTTGTTTTTTCTTTTTTTTTCATCAGAACATGACATCTTTCTTTGAGTGCCCAACTTGTCTAAAAGTTTGATATCTAAAGACCTCACACAGGAGAATTCTTTAAAAACCACACACAGAGGAAAAATCAATGGATCATAATCACTTAAAAAAATGAAATGCAAAATAATTAGGTAGCATGGACCAAGAATTGATGCCTTTGTTTTCGGTCCAGATTGTTGGTCAATTGTTTTTTTTTTTTCCTTTCGTGGTAATGTTTGTATGCCATGAGACTTGTAATAGTACCACTACTGATGGGTCATGACCTGCTGGAAACTTGTCTCCATCTTTGATGAGTTGATTAGGGAAAAGAGAAAAAAAAGATCCCCCCATATTTCAACGTAGCGATTTGATGATCTCCTCCACAGTTGATGGGATCAAATCGCTATGTAAGAGACAGGGTAGATGCTTGATACTAATGGTGCGAGAAAAACCCAACTCCACGTAAACTTTAAAGGGGAAAAGATCAGAAAGCATTTCTTGTAAACATGTTAACAACCATTGGATGGAAATCTACCAACGTGCATTGTTTTGACCAAAATCTATCATGTTAACAGCCATATCCCATATTCAACCACGCATCCGAAGTGGCTCAAGAGCTAAACACTAAATTATATATTTTCTGGGGGTGTGGCTGGAGCAAATAGCCGCTGCATGGGCCTAGAGAATGATTTATCACAGAAAAATTAAATAAAAATTATATAATGGGCCGAATGGGCCTTAGTATAAGTAGTATGTAATTTATTTTGTATGTTAATAGGCCTGTCTTTATGGGCCTGTTAACCTCTTTTATAGGTACTTGCTTAGCTAGCCGCCCACTTAAGGGCAGATTTATAATGAACCTATTTAATGAAGATTAATAAAAAAATTAGTGAGAAGAGAGTGGAGATTATCAAACTTTCTTCTTCTTCCTCTTCTTCTATTCAGTATTCTTCTTTCTCTCATTCTTTTATGCTTTAATGTTCATTATATCAGATTTAGAAGACAGATTTACTTGTTTAATGATGATGATACATTTTGTCGTAATGATTGAACCAGTTCAAACTCCAAAATGACTGATAAAACACAGCTAAGACAAACCCTATAGCTATAAGACACCACTGTTGTCATGGTAACTTCCGAAATTGTCACTTGATGTGGACCATGTGGTCAATCAATTGCTTGCTTGAGTGTCGCGCCATAGTAGTAGCAGAGTCCCCTGCACAGAATAATGTTGCCAAGTGGACGCTAATCCTTAACTGGTTAACTCCTCTTCAACTATACAACACCACCTCAATTCCTTTGGGAGATAGAAAGCCAACACATTAAATCATCCAGCACCAACCTCCAACCGGAGTAACTTGTTTTCTGTCACTTTTACATCTGGGTCGTATGTATTATTTTCTGTAAATTACACCTTGATGGACTCATATTTTTCGCCCATTATACCACCTTTCTGTTTCTGAAACTGGATGTAGCGCAGGCTGCTGGCAAAGAAAGCATTTGCAGATGGATCTGGTGTTGCCATGTCACCTTGCATCTCGGTTTTTATTAACTCAACCAGGTCCTGGATTGCTGCACTATAAATCTGCGGATTGCCCTTTTCAAAGAAGTAGAGGTACCTGAAATTACGCAAGAGCAGGATTACCAAGTCCATTATAACAGAACAGGCAAAATATATTAAAAGAATAACAAGGTTCTTATTAGTCGCATTTTACTTGTTCAATATTTCAACAAAAAGTGTGACAGGTCCATTGCTACCCCGTGTCACATTAGCCATTTGTTGAGCAGCATTCGCAATTCTTAAAGCACGCTTTAAGCAAAGTATGACCCTGGGATAAGAAAAAAACGATTAAAGAGAAAACATCAACCACTTTATGCAATTGTTGAGTAATGGTAAAACCTTGGGCTTACAAGCTCGAGGACACAGGTTTGAGCTTGGGAACTGTCATTTTGCACCGAAAAAAATGAATAAATAAAAGAAGGCTAGGTCATCAGATACTCCCAAGACCCTGGATAACCAGGACCATCATTAGGTAGTGGCCATTAATGACCCTAGAGAGAACATCTGCACTCTGATACTGTAGAGGATACATTATGTCAGTATCCCATCATGCAAATACAGTACCATCTAAAGCTGTTCCTCCACTCAAGTGCTTGACAAAAAACAAAAGCAGATCAAATATGCAGCCTGCACAAGGTTCTCAGCTCAAAATTGGTGTGGCCAAACCAATGCTACAAGGAAATCAGGCTCATAAAATTCTACAGACTAGCACAAACAGATAAAATCCCTAGACCTTCCAACCAAAATACATGCATAGACATGTTAATTCATGATGAATGCAAAAATGCACATCTATGTTCCCGGATAATATCGAGTATAAGATGTGTACCTTTCTCCATCCTTCATACCGTCCTGATCATCAACCCAGAAGAGATGTGAGCATGCATAAACCGCTCTGCACTGATCAGGCTTCTTCAAAAGCTTTGCTGAATACTGCCCATGCAATAATATCATTGGATTTTGTTCATATGATAACAAACCTCGAGAAACAGATGAATGCTCAATTTTTTACCCCTGTGGCCTTATGTGTTAAAGTATCCCGGTTCTCTACACCAAATATATTCATTCTCTGAAGGGTCCCTATTATTAGGTGTATTGCAGTCACCTGTGCTTTAGAATCCTAGGAAAGAAAAGGGAAATAACGTGTGAACAAAACTGGATGCATCTAATAGCAGAAATAAAAATTCAAGAGTCAATTTCCAGAGAAAGGGCATGGTTCCCAGTTTACCGCAATTTCTTCTTCATACAGTATAAAGGCTTGAGTGAAGAATTCATATGCAACAGGTTCAAGATCGCAGTCATTGGCAGCCTGAATACCAAGGGATAGAACCAATATAAATAAGCAAGACATAGGGTCCAAGCAATAAGACCCACTGAATAGCTTTAAGCACAAGTGTTTTGGCATACCTCAGCACATTGCAAGTATAATCTTAATGCTAGTTCAGGAGCTGGAACAGATGAGAGAGCTTCAATTGTCTGAAATATAAATGTTGATCGCATTAAACAAAGCAAAGATAAAAGAGAATTTGTCCCACCTACAAGCCAAATGCAAGCTAAAAGATAACATATAGCAGAACAAGATACCCTTACGAGGAAAGACACAAAGCTAGTATGGTCCAAAGGACCAACAGAAACATAACAGAAGATTGTAGGTTATATACAAGAAATGAAAATTTTCAAGCAAGGAATGCTAAAAAGAAACTCAATATATTTTCTTATATTGAGTTTCTTTGTAACATTCATTGCTTGAAAGAAACTCAACATAAGATTGTAGGTTATATACTACCTAAAGGGATTTAAAATTTTCAATTACAACGAAAAAAATGTAGAAAAGTGAAGTTCTGGTTGAGTTCACCAAAAAGATTAAAAAAAGTCTGGTTGAGGAGATTCTATTATGTGCTTATAAACCATGAAAATGAACTGATAAGTCTCAAATCATTAGCTACAACAATATTTACTTTTGATGAATAAAAGGAAATTTCATTAAGAACATTAGCAACAACAATATTATGCATGACTCAAGTAATCACCTGATGCAAAAGCTGAAAAATTTTCTTTGGTGTTGCAGGCACATCTTCTCCAACCACATCCCCATCCTGACCTTGCAATTGTCGGACCAACTGCACAGTAGAGCCAAATTCTATAAAACATGAGGGAGATAACTGAATTGCAACTGAGGTTCTGAACTAAAGCATAATTAGAAATCAGGAATTTCATTGTTTTGAGTACTCAAACAAATACAACTTTTCCCTTTTGCTGGAATAACTAATATCCTTTTATTTTATTGAAAATGATGAAAACACACAGACGCATATTACAATTTCTGTGGTTTAAGTAACATTGAATCGGATATTGTTTCGGTAAGAACATTGAACCAGAGTGAAGAAAGAGAACAACTGATGAACAAATACAAAAAATTTTCACAACACTTCCACAAGAACGGATAAAGAACTCTGTTGCATGTTTAAGGGGACATCAGAAGTGCAACTTGGCAGGTTGAGTCAGGTTTAATGACAAGCAAAACCAGAAGGGCCAATCCAAGCCCAGCCAAGCTAACCTAACCCAATCAATCCCCAACATGAGGTGTTTGACTCCCTTCAACCATCCCTCCCTTCCTGTGTATCACATAAGCTGAAGAAATGGCAGAAACAAACCTTAAGTGCAGAAAAAATGAGAGGAGGAACAGTGAAGGGTAAGCGCTTTGGCCCTCCGGTTAGAATATGCTTCCTCACAGTACATATAATCTGAAATTTAACATAGAAAGTGTCATTGTCATCAGAACACAAGATGTTGAGACAAACACAAACAGCAGAACCAAAGACTCAAAAGATACGAGATCATTTACACAAGCACCTTGAACACATCAGTTACCTTTAACATCTCCTCCGGATCATCATTATACAACATGTGGATAAGACGTGCAACAGAATTTTGCTCCTCCTTAAAATCCTCCTCATCAAGCTAGTGGTATAGTTAAGAATAACAATAATATTAATAAACAGAATAGTAAACAAGAAATAAATAACAAATCACAGATCAGCATGTCAAAAACCAGGACATTAAAACAAGTAAAATTGCTAGACATGGATAAAGATCAAAAGAAATTTCTCAAATCATTTTCTACATAATACAATAACTGGAAGAATTTGATATATGCACCTCATCAACAGGAGAACCATCTAAATCCTTTATAAGCCCCTTTATCAATTCAAACAGTGCTTCAACCTACAGAACAGTCCAGAATGTTAAAGCTATGGGGGGGGGGGAATACAACTAATATGGAACATACCTTATCAGAAGTTGAAATATAAGTGTTGTTTTTCATAATGCTTTGAATAATAACAACCGCCATCACTTTATTTGTTGCATTATCAAGGTAATCCATCACTCGAGGGTAGTTAGAAAGTTCCAGTGCAGTGACTATGTCATTGTATTTCTCCAATGGTGCACTCAAGAGTGCAACAATTTGCTTTGTTGCTTTGCCATCTTCAAGCCTTGCTTTACCAGAAAGCTTCTTCACACATGCTCCCTATGGACAAATGACATGAAGAGTAATCATTCTTGACATTTTTTGAAATACATTTTTCAGGGAATTAGGCTGGGTTGCTAGTTCATCTGTCATTCTTGACATTTTTAACAATAACTAAAGGAAACACCATGCAATAGGTTAGCTCCAGAACCTACTCATGGCATTTTCCTTGGGATTTAAGGGTTTCAGAAGAATTCTGTTATCCATATGCCCAAACTATAGCATATGCAAAAATAATGCAACTTAAAATTTTAAAAAGATGATATACCAGAACTTGGTCCACATAATCAAGCCGATCTGGATGGACACGAAGAGTAAATGTCAGAAGAGACACATATAAAGTTATAGCTCCAACTGCTGGCATGTCAACCTGAGCTTCAATCACCTGTTATGGAGATATAGATGATTAATAAGCTTATCATGGTTAAAGAAAATACATACAGAAAAACATCAGCAACTTGAAGACATTTAATTCATATGTGGAATGTAAGAACTAACAGTATTCATTAAATTTATCCATTCAGATGTTTTGAGAAATAAATATAAAGATAATTATTTGCATAATGAAAAGGAAGAGAATTTGACCAATGGTAAATCAAGTGATTTAAATAGAATACAGGATTCTTGTATTTTGAACTGCACACAAAAGTATATAGGATTCACCCCCTAAGCAGTAGAATCAATTCTGCAAGGCATATCAAAGAAAACGTCACAGAATTTCCAGGTGTTATGAGATAAGTGTTCCCAGAATGAGCCAAATTTCCCTTCTTTGGGAAATTTGAACCTCATCCACCAATACATACATACATACATATATATGCATATATATATGTACACACACACACACACACACACACACACACACACATATATATATATATAATAGATGAAACGAAGTAGGAAATGGACAAAAAAAACAGGGCTGTAATGCTGCAGCCTCTGAGTATAATGCATGGTGAGGAATTATAAAACTGATGTGGACTAGAGCATTAAACAGAATCAAGCTGTCTACTAGAAGTACATGAACCATCTCATTTGACTATTACAACCTTACAGACAATGGATATGGTACTGAACAGAATGGGATGGTGAAACGGAATTCATGTAGCCCAAAGTACTGAACAGATGATGATACAGAGAATCTGTACGTATAGAAAAACGGGCACATCACATATTGCATCAATGCCACATTCTAGCACTAATGTTGAGGTTAATGGTAACCAAGATCCAAGGCCCGAGAGGCCACCATATTGATCTCTAAGTGACCTACTTGATCATTAACAACCACGAACTGATCATAGAACTTTGCATAAATAATAATTTAATATTAAATAGATAAAGAAAGCAACTAAAACTAATATTGACAAAAGAAAATATTGCTATTCGCGGGTTTACCTTCCCAATGGCATTGCTCAATTTGGTGAAAGCCTCCACTTGCAAGAATTCAGGCAATACCTACAGCATAAAATGGTAAGAAACAAAAAAATTGAATCCTTGATCAGGAAAACAAGGCAAGATACATTAGAACTACATAATAATGTGGATAGCTCACTTCTGCACTTGAGGCAGCATAGTTTGATAGTCTATCCATTAGTTGGGACAGCACTGTCTTGATGTCAACAGTTGACTGAAAAACAAGGCAAGATATGTTAGAACTACAATTAATATGCATTACCACAGTTCTGGAAAAATTAGCATGCATATAGTGACTATTCTTTAAATGAAAATGCCAATTTCCCTTTTATGACATCCGCTAACTGCATCATTAACAAAATAGTAGTAGCCAAAAGTTTTGGAATGACAATTTTATTCCAGTTTGCAGAGAGAATGACAACATTTGGATTGTGGTAGAAAGAGGGATAGAGGGTCAAAGGTTAAACAAGTTTAGGTTCCACAGTTTGGCACCAAAATAGAATTACATGAAATTCAGAAACCTCAACATTTTAAGTCATGTTTTCCACCATTTTCTGCCCTAAGACCAAATACAGCCTAAAGCTACAAAAATTGAATATAAGGGAAGGGATTAGCAACCATAGTTATATTACCAACCTGAAGCTGCGGGCAGGCGCCTAATAATGTCTCAAGGGTCTGCAAGTGGTACTCATCAGGAAAGACTTGGATAATGCAGTCCATCAAGTAATATTGAGCAAGCTCGTCTTTACAATTGACAACCTGTCCAAACCCATGTTACAGATACCACAGTATGAACTATGAACTCTAGTAAGAATAGTATATTATTTTTTTCATGGGCTTCCAAATCATAAATATAAAATGAAACTAAAAGAACAAACCTGCTCCAACACTCTGGGAAGCACAGTATCTTTGTACATATCAAGGTCAACACCCTCTATCTGACTGAGAACGTGCAGGTTCTTGCCAACCTAACAAGGAATTTCAGAAAGACAGCAGAATAACCTCCTGTGAATTTTAGGAATCATTGTGCAATTTCAGTATAGCAATATTAATCAATTCCAGGTTACTTATATTACAAGATCTCGAAGTTCACTCCTTTCCTTTTCCCGTTTCTCTTTCTCCCGAACAGGTCCCTGCAGACCAGAAAGTCCGATTGCATGTCTCAACTCAGGATCACCTAAGAGTATGAATGATTCACAAGCACTATTAACACCTTCATTACCACAAATCATGCTCTCATGATTCATTTTTACCTTCAGGACATGCAAGGACTGGATACCATGCATGTCCAAACACGAGAGCAGCTCAAAGTTGGCAGATACTGCAACGAACCTGATGCTGCATGCGGACCCAAAGTTTGTTCATCTCTGTGAAGTTTTGAAGCACAAACTCCACAGCGTCCATGACAGTATCAGCATCACTGCAGTAAGAGGCCAACAGATTAAATATGAAGCTAACCATCCAATCAAAGGGGGGGGGGGGGAACCAAGAACAAAATAAAGATCGGAATAAGAACACAAGAATTAGGTTCAGTCCTAATTAATTGATCATATTTTTCCCCATTATTTTTCCAGCCAAGGTGATTTTAGAGGTGGCACTACATGGAAATTTTAACGAAGTTTGGCTTTCTTTCTCTGGGGGCAGGATGAGGGGTTGAACCTGTAGCCTAATAGGGGAAGAAAATCAATCCTTTAAACAGGCTTGAACACATAACCACCTGCAACAGAGAGTGCAGCAGCCACTGAAGGGAACAAAGCATTGGTCGTATTGAAGTTAATGAGTTAGAATATAAAATCAAGAGAATAGCACTCTATTGTTGAAAGTGAAATCAGGAAACATAGGAGTTGGTAATGAACAGTGTAATCATGGATGTAAATGGGAATATTTTCTGGAACACTTCCAAGATCACTAAAAGCTCAACTGATTCCACACCCAGTTAGTTCAATAAGGAATAATTGAAATTCTTAAAATAATGCAACCATTGTATTAGTTCTAATGGTTCCTTGCTTTACAAATCCATGACTTATAAGCTCACTAATCATTTAGCACCCATTCAAGGTAGGAACTAGAGTTTTCAGTCTAAAACTTGTCTAATAACAAATACAACACCACCTAAAAAAGCACATATGGGGTGATTGATGCAAGTGCTTGGGGATCAAGGAAAGCAAGCATTAGCAAGCCTGATTGACAAGGTCAAGAATGCGAGTGCCAAATATATCTCAATATAATTAGTTTTGTGTTTAGAGATTTTAATAATATAGGGGTTATATTTTAGGAATTGCAGAAGCAGCACAATTTCTTTAATAATAACAGTCAAAGTGTCTTTATTAAGATTGATGAAAGAAATATCCTGATGTCAATGTTTTAACAGCAGGAAACAAACCAACATAAGGTTCAGGTAGCTCATAGCCATCACTTGCCTACATAGAAGTTAGTAAAGTGCATAGGGAAGTCTCAGTGTTTCACAGGATGCAAATTTTCAGCTTACCCTTTAACACTTCATGGACAGTTTCGCAATGAACACAAGGTATAACACAATACCATGTGAGCCCCTTGAACATCCCTAAGAAAATCATAAAGGAGTAGATTGCATGGATATGATGAGTGCTTGGTATGGATAAGGTAAAAGAATCAGAATTAACACTAAAAATTGAAGTGTCCAAAACACAAATTGAATTTGTATTGAAAGTTTCAATATAATGCAAAATGATACACCTAAATAAATGGGAAAACAATAACATTTGAAGCAGCTCTGTGCATGAAGTAAAGAATTAACTAACAGGAAAAGTGAGCTCCATGGATTGAATATGGTCTATGACAATGCAAACTTGAACTACAATTTCACTTTTAAAACGGGGGATCTTTCATTCACTTATCTTGATATCCCACTTGGAGTTAGAGCTAAAGTATCAGCAGCTTCTACATGGTGTCAAGATACTGACAGATTATAAGAAAAAAATGGAGGGTTGGGAAAACAGGCACTCATTGTTAGTCAGTATGATTATCGTTGTTAGCAGTGCTCTCATCACTCCAATTGGGAAAAAAATAAAAATTTTAATAGGTAAAAACAAAGGGATTTTCCTCTGAATAGGGGTGGGAGTGGAAAGAAATCTCATTTAATTAAATGCAATCGAGTTTGTTGTCCTAAACAAATGGGAGGGTTTGGTTTTAGAAGAAGTAAAACAATGAAATTGTTGGGGAAATGGTTGTGGGGATTTAAGGAGTGTGTGGGACCATGGTTTCTTGTTTGTTTGTTTGGGACCATGGTGTTGTGTTCCCGTTTAGAGTCCATTTAAGCACCATGCACGCATTTTGACTTCATAGTACCAAAACCATGTTTGGTTGGGCAGATTTAACTTTGAACATATGTGCCACCCCTTACATCAGGTTATGTGCATTGGGTGTCAGGGAAAACATCTTTTTAGTTTATCTGCCAACAGGGGGAATCCCCCTTAACTAACAAAGAGACAGCCTGCCATGCTTTGACAAATCTGAGACCAGCAAGAAGGGCCCTGACTTCAGCTTTAGAGGCATCCATCACAGCAACAGACCCACTAAAAGCCCAAATCAGGTTGCCATTAGAGCTTAAGATGACCCCCTCCCCAATTCTTGTTTGGACATGATTTGAAGTTCTCAAACTACCACCAAACTGTAATATAAAGGCAGTAGTTGACCCAGGAGGAACGATGTAAATGGGCTGAGAGACAAAAGGGGAAGATTTCAAGATCTCAACTAGATGGTAGATGCATGTCAAGATCACCATAGCTGATGCATTTGCTCGAAAGAATCCAAGAGTTCGCCAAGGAAAGATGTCTTTTAAGACCTTCCAAAGGGGTGCTTCTATTTTCAAATCGTTTTATTCTGCTCCTCCCAAATACCCCCACATGAAAGCATGAGTGACAGCTTTTCAGTACAGTCTGCATCTCTACCCAATTTGTTGTCCTTCCATTAATGAGTGAAGTCGCAAATGCTATTGGAAGGAACCCAATCAAATTTTCCATCCCAACAAGGGTTAAGAAAAACTTTCAAATAGCACGAGCCATCTTGCAGTTTATGAGGATGTGACCAATGGATTCTTCATCTTGGAGGCACAAAGTGCAAACATGAGAAGGGATGTACAGCTGCCCTGCCCTTCACCGCTGTAGGTTGTCACAAGTATCAATACGCTCACAAGAAGCCTCCAAGATAAAGAAGAAAACTCTAGGGGGAACTGAGGGGAGCCAAACCTTTCTATCAAGAAAGTGGTATGGAGTGGATCTAACATTCAAGCAGTGAAAGAAGGATGGCGTGCTAAAGTTTCCATTTGGGGTGAGGGACCAAATTACCTCATCCAGTACCAAGAGAGAGAAACATCTTCAATTTTTTTTTTTTGAGCAAAGGTAAAGTATAATTATATTGATGTAAAAGGTCCTTTGTACAATGAGAAGCTGTACACACCAAAACAGAAGGACCTCAAAAAAAGGCAATCCTCAAAAAATTACAATCAGAAGTAACCTCTTTAAATTCAATATGTATAGGCAGCCAGCTTCTAACAAAACCTAAAGCCAAATTGATGACTTCAGCTTCAGAGAAAAACATCTTGAATGAAGGAAAGAAAAGTAGAAACTTTCAAAGTTTCCTGCTCAGTAAAGTTTCTACAGAAATTGAAGTTATAGGTTAAACCATTGTAACCGCAAGAACAGACAGAAGTTATGGTTTAACGATTCTTCCTCTTATTTTATTCTTGTCTCAGTTTTGCATTCTTTCTTCAATAATATCTAGTGTCAGTTCAGCCTACTGGAGGAAGCCTTCTTTATAGCTAAAAAAGTAAGAGTAGAAAGGACAAGGAGATGGTATCTTACAATCCGATAGGCTCAGTTTGGAAGGAGTGCAAAATCTTATATTTTCTATTATTTTGTATGTATTTGCATTGTACATATTTGCATTTGTACTCTTTCCAAACTGAGCCATATGTACAAATGAATACTAGGTGGTGCTTTGTTCTGTTTGTATTTCCTCTCATGTACATCCCCCCCCCTTCTGATCCTTTTGAATATAATAGTTACCTTTTCTCAAAAAAAAAAAAAAAGTGATCAATCCACATATGAATTACGCCACATCCAAAAAAGATCAAAGTTGTAAAAAAAGGTCAAACCAGATTGTAAGACTAGCAAAGAGATCTCCTTACCCTTCATATTCAGATCCAATATCAGGTAACTTATCCCTACTGACTTGAGAAAGGTAACTCCTGAGGAAGAGTCCACGTACAGGATGTTGAATGCCTTTGCACATTTCCACAAGGTCTTTGAGAATATCCTTGGCAGGAGCCTCTTTTGATTTGATGTACACGGATCCCACAGTACATAAAAGGTACCTGATAGAACAGAGGTCAGAATAAAAAGAATGTCATGAAAGGAAGTAAAAAGATTTCAGAAAAGGAAGTAAATTAAAATAGTCACACTTATGGAGTCACACCATACTAATTTGGGCCTTCAACAGAATCATACCAAAGAAGAAAGTTTCATAAGCATTGACACCGCAAGAAATATAAGCCCAAAAAATAATGTTATTCTCAAATATCAGCATTCTCCTTTACAACAATATTATGGGCTATAAAGGCTTGTTTCTATAATATAAAGACTCCTAAACATCTCCAATTCATAGATGCAGTTGGAATGACCTCAAAAGCCACTAGAATTCCTACATAAAATTTGATTTTTTATCCCAGTACGAAATTACAAATTGAAATAATTTACAGTTTCAAAGAAAATAATAAGGAAATAATTTCCAAGAAACATTATCAAATTAGTTTGTAAAACTACTAGTATTAATTTAAAAACTAAAATAAACCAAAAAATGAAAATTTTATCAAAAATTTCTCAGTTGTCCATAAATTGGCCATCTCATAGCTCACTCAACAATTGTCCAAATCAAACAATTTTAATTTTGTAGGATGCATAATTTAACTAAAAGGTTTATCCCACCACTGATGCCTGAAAGAATCATACTTCAATCCTTACAAACTCCTTTCAAAATTGTTTTTCTTCTTTTGTTTGGTAAAAGATCACCTGCTGCACCAGTAAGGACTGATTTAATGCAAGTTGAGGATTCATATAGAGAGGTGAAAAGGTACAAAGATTTATTAAGAAAAGGCATGAAGACCCACAACGTGCAACTCAATGGAGTACATGGCCCACTGGAATCTTGAAACAGGATTCATATGACTGCAATAATCAAGACTTTTTCTAACCAAATAGTGTTCTGTCCATGCTAGAGAAATAGATGGTTGCTCTTGCGTTAAGTTCTTCTGGAAAATAGAAACCTCGGAAGTGATACTAAATTTGACATGAATTTTGGCATCTCAACTCTCCTAACACTAAAATCTGTATAGATTCTTTCTAAGATGGAAACTTAGCAATTAGTCTATCAACTGGACCATACAGTTACCAGCATAGCAAACATTTACTGTTTGAGTGAAGATCACCAATGGAAATACCCGAAGGGACCAACGACTAGATCCCAGAAATAAAAATAATAAGGTCGTTACTCAATGTTGGTTCCCGCTATATGCGGCCTTGGGAGGAGAGGACTGGATACAGACCTAACATTAGGCATTTCTTTTTGCACAAAGTGAACCGTGAGTAGAACCAAGTTAGATAATTTTCCAAAATATCACTTATGCAGATACAAGAACACGGACAAGCACACATATAATCAAAACAGAAGCCGCATTAATAATTAAACGAGAGAATGAATGTTCTTTCATATTTACTTACAATCTAGGCAAGATGTTTCCAGCATGTTGTACAAGTTCGTAAAGATCGATAATTGAGCAACCACGCTTTGTTTCCTCGTTGAAGAACATCTCCAACTTCCTCAATTCATCGAACGCTCGCATATCTAAGACATCAGGTGCATAAAATTGAATTTTGGGGCTAAGCTCAATCTATATTTGAATTCAAGCTTTAAAATTGTAACAAGAAAACATAGGGTCTCAACATCAAATACACTAAGGAATGGATCACAGAGAAAACATCACATACAGAGCTCGTAGTATTTGTGAGGTGAAAGCCGGGAAGTCCGAAGCTCCGAGAGCATCTGAGCTGAATACTTGAGGGAGTCCCTGTGATTGTTCGAATCCTAAGAGAATTCAAGCCAAATTGGATGAAATTAGGCAAAAATTCTGCAAAACTAGGGTTTGAACTACAGCTTCATGAAATTGGAGTTTGTTACCAGTGCCCGATGCATGTAAAACGCATTGTGTTGAAGTCCGGCGATCCCTTCCGCCAGCCATTTCTCCTCGTCTTCGATTCCGTCTGAAATCATCTTTCTCTCTCTCTCTCTCTCTCTCTCTCGTCAATTGCCGTAAATCACAACGATGATGCTTTTGACCTTTTTTTCCTACTTCAAGACTTCAAGTGCTCGTCACTCATACTTTTGACCCTTTTTTTTTCCGATTGTCCTTTTTTTTTCTATTACGAATTTACGATTATAGTAAATTCGGACGTTAATAACGCGGATTTAACTTTATCCTATTAAAATATTAATATAATTAAAAATTCTATATAATTATATAAATATTATATGCAATTATATAATTTTTTATTATATAAAATTTATAAATTATAAATTTAATATTTTATGTATATATAAATTTATTGCAATGTATAAGCTAAAAATAATTAATTTTTTGTCATACGATAAGATGGATACTAAATATGAATTTAATTTGAGTCCTTTATGTCTAACTTTAGATTAGATTCACACGTTAACTAATTTTTTTCATACGCCGAAGGTGAATTCTTACCGCGGATCTAGCAAAACCAATTCATTCATAATCACTAACTCAATTCACGCATATATGTTTTTATAGTAAGTGTGTATATGCTTTACATAAAATCATTATAGATGGTGATAATAATAGTAATAATGTATTAAATATTTTCTATATTTTTTAATTATTATTATTAATTAATTGTAAAATCCAAATATTATTACATGAATATTTCATTCAAATATATGATAAATTGATTAAGTTGTGAGTTTCAAGTATTATTGGTAGGTTTAACTACTTTGTTAGATTCTTCTTTTTGTAATGTTTTTTTCTTTTTCGTGTATCTTTTTTTTTCTGTTTCATTTATTGAAAAAATGTAAGATTTAAATAGAGAGAATTGAATGGGCTTAAAAGTATCAATTCAATTTACAAATTAAACCTCTAATTAAATAGGGATTAAATTCATAAATTAACAAGCATTTTAGTCAAAATAAAGTTTCACATTTTTATTCATATTTTTAATAATAATATAAATATAGAATTATAGATGCATTCAGTTTTTTGTATTTCTGTGTGTAAAAAGAATTTTAATATGCCACACTTACATTATGTTTAATATGATAAATATATGGTATTATACATTTGCATGTATTTTTTTCATTTTTATTTTTACATTTTATTAATTTTTATTATTTATTTACGATATTAAAGGTTAGCGCATTTAACCAATAGTTGAACTATCGATCTTTGCTAAAATGTAAAATAATTTCGTTTTTTATTAGTTCTAAATTATATATTTCATTTTCATTATCAATAAAAATAATTATTGTTTATAACACTTATTTTTCGTCCCCAAAGTTAATAGCCATGTGATTTCCAAGACTCAAATCATTGTGACATCCTAGCAAAAAGTTTCTCGAGATCTTCATGTGTGTATTCCTCTTAGAATCTCTTCTTTGCCTTTGGAGCTTGATGCCCTTAAGATATTCCTTGTTGGTGTAGGTATTTAATCTAATATATATACTAAAGGAAGGTTTTCAGGCTACAACCTCCACCATTCAGACACATGACTTTTTTATTTTTCTAGAAATTTAGACACATAACATTTTCTGATAAGTTGTTAAAGCCCACAACCCACTATCATCATTCAAACAAGTGGGTTTCTCATTTTCTAGAAAGCTAAACACGTGCAATTTTTGAAAATTTCCTACTAAAGCCCATAACCCACTACTAGGCTACAGCCCCCGCCATTCACACACATGGCCTTCTCATTTTTTTTTGGAAAGCTAGACACATGGCATTTTCTGAGAAGTTACTACTAAAGCCCACAACCCATTACCACCATTTTCATCCATTCCTAAAAAAATGCAGAAAATGCAAAAGTGGTTATCCACAACCACTTCTACCTACATTCTATTAGTCTCATTTAATCTTTAACCCTCTACTTATCATAACAAAAGAAAACTATCCCTATTCTAATAATTATTGAAAAGTTGTTTTTTGAAATAAACATTTCTTAAAATTTTAATAAATATTTAAATATTAATAAATATAAATTTAACATTATTGATTCTATAATATAAATATTCCCCGTACTTAATACAGGGTCATTCATTAGTTGAGTAGCAAAGGAAGTTGGATGCTGATGAGTTCGCGTTCTGTGCACCCATGGGTGCACTGGACGAGTGAACTTGCGAATCAAAGTCCACGTCAACTAGGAGAAGGAACGCATACCGTTAATGTTCCAAGTGTCATTAGTCGGGTTTGTCGATTCAACCAGCGGCAAAATGACAAAAAGGAGATCAAAACCTCTAACAAACCTCATTTTTTACTTTTCCCTCCACGTTTTTCTCTTGGAGACCGAACCCTACCCACATTGTGACTCGAACCAGTGGCCGACGGCGACAACGACGAGAGCTCCAATGGTACATTTCTCTCTTCCTCCTCCTCCTCCTCCTCCTCCTCCTCCTCCTCCGCCTCTTCTTCTTCTTCTTCTTCTTCAAATGCTCTGGTTTTGAGTGTGTGTTTCTTTATATTGACAGTAGACCTCTTCATGGTCGGGCTCAACCATGTGTGTTGCCGACCAACAAGTTAAGATCAAGATGTCGTCCAAACAAATCCCACCGGATGCACCGCTTAGGATTCGGTCCTACCCCAAGAAGGAAGAGGAGAACAACATGAGAATTGTTACTCCAGTGGAGATAAAGATCCCGAACAACACATATAACCCGCCCGCCTGTGATGTTACCCAAGGCGTCCTTGTCGTTATATTCGCCACCACTTACACCAGCAACATCTACCATGAATTCAACGATATCGCCATCCCCCTTTTCCTCACATGCCGCCATTTTCAATCACGCATAAGGTTCATTGTCACTAAATTCGATCCACTTCTTTCAGGCTTATTGAGCTATGGGGTCATCAATCCGACCGACAACGGTAGGGTGCACTGCTTTCCTGTAGTTGTCGTTGGGCTCAAGTACCATTACAAGCAACATCAATAGAATTCCTGGTGGATACTCTATGCTAGACTTCAAGCAACTCCTTCGAGAATCGTTCAACTTGAGAGTAAAGCATTATTTTGAGATACCAGAGCTGAATATGGTCCTTGTTTTACGTAGAAGGACGAGAATGTTCGTGAATGAAAACGATCTGGTGAGGGTGGCAGAAGGATTGGGGTACCATGTGATTAGAGCTTCGCCTGATCAAATGGCGAATTTATGAGAGCTTTCTGGGGTGTTGAACAGATGTAGTGTTCTGGTGGGAACTCATGGGGCAGGACTAACAAACAATGAGTTCTTGCCGGAAGGAGTTGTGGTGGTGCAAGTGGTGGGATGGGGTCTGGAATGGGCTTCTGAAGCCTACTATGGTGGAGTCCGCGTCCTCTAACCACCTCTCCTCCTAGAGGAAATCATCTATCCTTCCCAAAAGGGGCGAGTTCTGGGTTTGGGTTCAATAGAAGAGAACCTCAGAAAATGGGAGGGAGCGAGAAATGAGCTTCAAAATGAGGAAGAGAGTTTGTAAACTCGGGTTCTTTGTCTTTTTGCATTCAGTTCGACCGAACACGTCCAGATAACGGCCAAAGTCCCATTAACATTTGAATCTCCCAACCCCATCGACGTGTCTTTGTCTAGTTGGTCAGACACCTGTTGCTCCCATTTTTGTGTTTCATTGGGGAATGTCACAAATGAGTGCTACTAGGGGTGAGCATTATTCGGTTAAAACCAAATTACCGAACAGAAAATTTTGGGTTCGGTTTTTTCAGTTTTTGAGAAATTCGGTTTTTAATAATTTTGGTTTTCGATTTCGGTTTTCAGATTTAGAAATTTGGTTAACCGAAAAAACCAAATTAGCTAAAATTCATTATATAATATATAATATATAATATTTAATATATATATAATATGCTATATATCTATATATTAATATATTATATATAATCTATTATAATGAAATTAAATTTTATAATATATTATAGGTTATAGTATATAATATTATATATAATAATAACTAAATTCGGTTTTTAACCGAAATAACCAAAAAACGAACCGAAATGGGTTATTTTGGTTTCGGTTTTTATTTTAATATTTTGGTTTTAAAAAATTTGGTTTATTCGGATCGGTTTTTAACCGAATAAACCGAATGCTCACCCCTAAATGCTACAACTTAACCATGTTCCCAGTGGGTTTGAACTTTGCGTTTGAGGAATGTTATTTGTTTAGGAGAAGTAACATGGGAAGCAAAATGAGTTCAAGTTTTACATTAGGCAAGAATGCAAATTGATGCAGCACAATCTGGGCACTCCTAGTTGGCTGAGACTTGGCCCTTCGTTGTGACGGATGACACCTGAGAGGAAGAGGAAGGTGAAGGGTTCCCGGGGAGCTCTCCCGGCGGGAACACTTCGATGGCTAAGTTAGAACTCTTGAGGAAACTTAAAGATGACACAGAGTTAAGAGTGTTGAAAGTGTTAGCTTCAATACCTTTGTTTCGTGAGGGTTGGGGTCCTTTTATACCGGAGCTCGGTCACATCAGGCGTAACTGTCACTGCCCTAGCTGTTGCCGCCAGGGCAGGGGTGGTAGGTGCAGGCTGCTGCTACAGGCTGTTACTGCAAGGTACGGACTCGACAGGCGTGTCATGCTTTTCAGAGACGACAAGCAGAACGCCGCCTGGCAAGGGATCCAAGCACTGCCGCCGGATCCGGTAGGTACGGATGTCAGGCAGATCTCTTTGCAGTCTGCCAAGCTACCGTACACCGAACCACCTGGGGCAGATTTGCCTTGCACCGAGGTGCCGAGGTACACCGAGGTACCCGCACTGGAGGCGAGCCTTAAGCAAGTTCGAACAAGAGTCTCGACGGTGCTGCCCTTAGGTGTTTCTCCATCGGGACACTTAGCCAAAATC